ACATTTTAGGTTGCTTAAAAACTACCTTATAGTAATCTAACCGATTTTCCTCATTAATTCGTCGACACATTCTTTGATGCCTTTTAAAAGTCATAGACTTATTGTTAGGTAACAGAATTTCAGATTTAAAGGCTAGTGGCAATTCATATCGGCCATCAGGAAGAACATTTAATTTCTCTTTAAATTGTTTAACGGTGTTAGAGTGAGCAAGTTTACGTTTAACATCTTCAGTTGGGTCTGTTATGCCATGGCATCTAAATTCCAGAGTTCAGTTACGCTAAGATTAGCACAATGCAACGAAACTACATCATTGCACAAATTATTTTCTAGTAATGCTGGAATAGTAGCTGAAGTAGGTTCTTTAGATAAGCTGTTTACTTTACCAATCACTGTTTATCCGAATTTAGTCTCAACTAAAGTTACACCAGAGTTCAGTTTCAGAGAACTGCCAGTAATAATGTCCCCAATGGCATCTGCTCTTAAAAGCAATTCAGTGTCATATTCTTTAGCTTGCAAATCAGACAAGGTAATATTTCTTTCTTTTAATTCTTTTAGAGTATTGGGATCAACTACTTTTGGAACACATTCACATATTTTGTTCTGAGAAAGTGCTTCAAAGTTATGGTCATAAGTGCCCTCAAAATTTCTTAAATTAACATCAAACACTAAATGAGAATGAAGACTTGTCTCTCTCCCCCAAACAAACCGTGTATAATGGTTTGTTCCGATTTAGGACGCAGTTGCAAAAACGCGATAACCCTTTCTGAAAGATAAGATTTCTGAGAACAACTGTCCAAAATCGTACGAACTGTAAGTTGTCTACCCTCAAATACTATTTTTAAAAACAAGTGTTTGCAAATACACATTTTCATTAACAATTGACTGATTAGACAATACATTACTTGAAATAACAGTTCTGTCAGTTTCATTTGGCTTTACAGGTTTCCCATTTGAGCACATAATGGTATAGTGAAATCTATCACATGTTAAACATTTTACTTTATTTTTGCATGCCCGTGAACTATGTCCAATTCGTAAGCAGCGAAAACAGGCGTGCTTTTGCACCAAAAGCTTTCGTTTATCTTCTAAAGACATTTTGAGAGCGGAAAAACATTCGGCAGAATTGTGGGATTTCTCACCAAAAATACAACGTAAATTTCGCCTACCTGTATTGTCTTGAACATTTACCAAGGCAGCAGCTGTAGAGCAACCTGGATCATCACAATGGGGTCGCGAATGTGCAAAACGTGAAGTTTCCAACCCGGTACGAGCGAGCTTAATCATTTCTTCACTTTGCACTTCATTTCGAAGAAAGCACAAATGTTTATCCAAGGAACGAGCACTATCTTGCTGTGACGCAGTATCTTAGTACCATCGAGTAGCTTCTTTCCCACGCACGAAGAACAGTCTCTGGTAAACAGGACTCAACAAGTGGTTCCAAAAATTCTGCAAATTTTTCCTTAGTTCTACCGAGGCTTTCGAGTGCCATAAGCTTGCTCTCAAGTAAATCATAAAGTTCAGCTAAATCTCCTTTGAATCCGACCAGCAGCATTTTTCATTACTATGGAATGTAGATCCCGTACATAAATCTGAACCAAAAGTTCATCTCTCCTGAAGCCAAAGTTGTGCAATTAATTCGTTCTTTAAGTTGTGCAATTACCTTGGAATAATAGTTTTCTTTAGTTGGCAGAAAACTTGTTACCAGTCTTGACGCTTTAGAATCTGCTACCACACATTGTAACAGATATTGAAATTTGTCTACATCCACAATAGAATCATCTTTGTAAATTTTTTAAAACTGGGACCAAAAGGCAAGAAAGTCTTTCAGTTCTCCACTAAATTTACTCAATTCAAGTTTCGGAAGCTTGAATTTTCTTTTTTGCTTGGTAGTTGTTCCTTCCGTAATCGAATTCCTTTCTTTGCATTTTCTAACAGCGAACAAATTAAGCAGAACTTGTCTCGGTATTCTTCTGCTTTCAAAAAATCTTCGGAATATTCATCTTGAAGGGCATCATCACTTAGCAACCAATTCGAAACTTCTTCTTGAGTTCTTTCCAAAAGTGTGAATTTATCTTGAATCTGTTTAAACAACGTACTGACTTCGTCAGTTTGTAAACTTTTGTTTTCGATCTTCTGAGCTATATTATTGCAGCATACCGTAAACGCTGTTTTCAGAAACTTTCGTTTTGCTTTCAAGACTTTTATATCCCTATTTCATCAAAAATATAAAGTAGCGGACGCCAGATTTAGTATGTTGCTACTCTCAGCGCTACAACGTGCAGGTTACAAATTAAATAATCACAGCAGGGATTATTAATATAAAGATTTAATATGGATATTTCACACAAGCTGAAAAAACATTACATTACTCTATCAAGTGCATACATATAACTGAGTGAAAAGAGAATTTCCCCGCTTAGTTCGCAATTAAAGAAAAAAAAATAAGAATAAGAAAAAATAGTCAAATCAAATGCGGAGCTCCGTGTGTCGACCTTCGCCGAGCCGTTACGTAATCGTCTGTCTGCAGCAGCCGTCTCCAACAAATATTATAATTAGTAATAATGATGCCTATGACATACATTCCGCAAGAGAAGAAGAGAAAGAATGACTTGCTTGTTTGCATTAGCTGTACATAAGTCACGTGATCTCTGAGGTCACCTGCATTGTTTGTTTATAAAAGGTATACATAAGTCACATGATCAATGAGGTCCTCGGAATGTATCTCATTGTGTTCTCAGTTATACTTGTCTCTTTTCTTTTCTTTTTCTTTGTCTTTTTCTATAGATCATAGTCCCCCAAAAGAAAGCTGATATTTGCTATTTCTGCTAAATATTGAGCTGAAAAATATATGCAGAACATGAACTTTAAGGCTCATTTTTCGAAATTACAATGGATTTAATATTAGAAGTTTCTTAATTATTCGACTTTTTTATTCTTAAAAATGAAAATAAATAAACTGATCAGTTGAGAGAAGGAAGGAGATTGAATATCGTTTTGAAACGTTAAAATATTTGTTAAATTATTAAGAACGTTTTTTTGAATATTTGATGAAATAGATAGAAAATGACGATAATTAGTATGAATTTCTGTTATATATTTCTTACATACTAATTGGTGTTTTAAATATTTTCTCTTTTAAACAGCTAACAGAAAAAAAAAAAAAAAAAATCTGAAATGTTTCAGATTTTAAATTACGTCCAAAGGGGCGTTTTTTAACATTTTGTGTGTTACCTTTCTTTATTAAATATCATGTTCCTCGCACTTAAACAATAAGATCCAGTGCAACAGCAATATCGCAAAATAGCAAAATAGTTTTAAAACGAGCATATCTTTAGAATTTCCGATACAGAGACTCACGCGCTGGAGATAAAAATGTTTTTTTCTGCACAACGTTGTCATTGCTCGCTTTGAAATCCTTGAGTTTGTTAATCAAAAATTCGTCAAAATTTTAAAAAAATAGGAAATCGATCATAAAACAAATTTCAATTTCAAATTTGGTCTTCCACATGCTCATATTCGTTGGAGGATTACGTTATTCAAAATTCGATGACTCTATGTACCGTTGTTTTATCACAATACGAGAAATATACATACATTTATGCAGATTTTTCATTATTTAATTTCTTCAAATATAATGCAGGACTCTAACATTTTATGGCAACAGTTTGAAAAGTGAACCGACATTTATGAGTCCGACGCAAAATGCCAAAACGAAACTAATAGTCCTTCGGGATTCAAATCCCTTTGGACTAAAAAAAAACATAAAAAATAAGCTTCTTTTCTTGAGAACATTAAGCAGGAGATTTGCAGCTAAGAACTGCACTGACAGACTGACAACCAAAAGCGAACGGAACCAAACGTCTTTGGTTGCTAAGGTAACCTACATTGCTTTGCATCAGTCTTCGATTTGCTTCCTTTGCAGTCAAATTTCGCGCAATTTAAGACTCGAGTAGGGTGTGAGTCCTTTTAAACCAATCCTACTTGACGCCAGGTGTGTTTCACTCAGATAATTTACAGCATTATGTTGAAATTCATGAAGATATTTGACGCACCTATGCTTACGTAATTTAATCCGGAGAAAGTAATTGGACCGTTTCGCTACTCAGGTTAGTTCTCAAAAATCAGAATTTGCGTCAGCACAGCAAAACGCGCTTCCGTGTCTGTCACTAGGCAAATAGAATCAAGTGCGACTTCTCGTAACGTCTATTTTTCAGATTTGTTATGGAACCTGTATCCCCTGGGATCATTGTAAGTGGAAGGTTAAGCTCATATTTTTGCATTATATATGAAAAAAATATAAGCATTTATAGACTGGTACATAAATTTCAAATTTTTGTTTTCATTGTATGGTAAATCAATAACTGATGTATTTTTACTGTCCGTCACAGTAGCGTTTATTAAAGTATTTAAGCAAATTAAGTGAGTATTTAAATACCAGACTTCCTCTGTTTTCGATTTAATAAGTAAATGTTTTTGTGTGATGTTAAATTTTTTTTGTTCCGTTTCGGGTGTAATTTAGATTTCGTTTAAAATTATTTGCGCGATGTACCCTGCTTATGATGTGTAGATTTTAATTTATTAATCAGTTTTTCCATTATAATATTTCTTTTATGGTTATATTTTATGTATTCTTTTGAATTATTTTTGATTTTATTTCGATCTATTTATGCTATTTCTATAAATATTATTTATAATTACTTTAGATTTTTTATTGAATAAGGTGTAAGAAAGTAATAATCACTACCACTAAATTTATATAATTTTTTATACATCATAATTCTTTTGATTTCAAATTATAATTCTGAAAGACAAAGAAGCAAATTATGTGATAATTTCTGACTTAGATGTGCTTAATAAGACACACAGGTTCTTTTTTTTTTTTTTTTTCGTAGAAGTATTAAAAGTTTTAAGTATCTTTTATTCTTTATTTGAATGTATGTATGAATGTTGCATATTGTAAAGTATATCTTCAATTAAAATGCATATTATAGTGTAAAATATCTTAATATGTTTAAGCCTATTATAGCTTTTAGTTATATACATGCTGAAATTAAATGCTGCAGTTTTCTTTTATGTGTTTCGTACTTTGAATTGTGAATTTTTACAATGGTTTTCAGATCAATTAAAAACTTGGTGTAGTGTAAAATCAGTGATTAATCATTTTTAATTAAATTTCAATTTAATTTATTATTCATACATTTTAGTTCCGTGTAGAATTTTGAGGAACGAAGCTGTTTGCTGATGATCATGTATCATATGTATCCAGTTTATTACATTATTCCATAAAGAATTAACTACTTAAGTATTTGAAATTCATTTTGTCTTTAAGTAGTATGTTTTCTAATTAATTGTCACTTACATATAACTTTGTCATTGCATTTTGTCCTGAACCAATTTGTATTGTAATCTATATAGTAGTTTCAAATGTCAAACATGTGTTAATTATATATATATATATAATTTATTAGATATAATTTATAGTTAATTTATTTAGTACATAGGAACAAGAATAAAAGCTAGGAAATCAAGGGATATTTGTAAAATCTTGTTAAAGTTTGAGGAATATGATGGCAAGAGTGATTTCAGTTGTTTTAAAGTACACTTATTATTTGTAATATCTGTAGTTTTTTAATTTCATTCCAAGCAGAAAAGCGCTTGTTAAGTGAGTTCAATAATATTTAGTAAAATAAGATATTGCTTATAATTGAATTTTTACCTGAAAAAGTATTCTGTACATGCTAAATTTTGATATTTTGAATTATATTTGTTATTTCTCTGATGTGTAGCAAAATAAAATAAGATAAGCTAATAAGCCAAAAATTTTAATTGTGCATTAGAATAAATCAAAAAACTTAATATTATGTTCATGAGTTCAGCATTTATCAAAAATGTAATTATTTAGAATTCTAAAATGCTTTGTTTGTAGAACTTAGATTCTCAGATTTCTTTTAAAATTTTTATTATTTATTTACACTCTTCATTGTTATTTAACTAAAAGTAAATAGGTGTTTTGAACAATAATTTTACCGATGCATCCTATAGGAATATGAAGTAGTAGAATTTTAATGGAAATGAAAATGAAGTGCCTGTATTTAAAATGAAAAATTTATATTTACTGTGATCACAGGTTTTCTTTCAGTTTATTTGTATATAAAGAGGTTATCAGAGGGTTTTTTTTAAATTTTTATTTATTTATTTAGTTTTTCTGTTATGTGTAATGTTTTGATTTTCTTTAAATTTTAATTGAAAATTTTTTCTAAATAGGATTTTTAATATAATAATGCACTAATATGTAATTATTTGTATTTTAAGATAAATGATTGCAGTAGCTCTTGATTCAAAACAATTATTTTTTCAGATCTCTGATGAATACAAAGGCTATCATCCTGATTTTTTTTGCATTCCAAAACACTATGAAGGGGCTTTAGAATGTGTTTTAGTACCAGGTGGTGTTATAAAAGACAGGTGAATATAAAAATCTTTTTTTCTCATCAACTGCAGTATTTGCTTGTCATAAGTTACTATATGTTTCTACTAATTTATGGCATAAATAATGCAGTATGTTTTTTAAATATACAAGTTACACATAATCAAATGATGTCTAATTTATTGAATAAGTTGTTGTTTAGCTAATTGTTTCTAGGGAAATCTTTTGTTCTTCTTTTCAGGGAAAAATTTTGGATGCTCTTATCAGTCATTTATTTGTTCAGTGGAATTAAAATAGTAATAAAATTTGAGATATAGTTATTTAAGAATAATTTTGAAAATTTGATTTTCTAAATAATATTAAATCATAATGAAGTAGTATAAATGTTCAAATCTTGTATCTGTGTTAAAATCCAGGAGATAACTATTAAAACCAGCAGTAAAATGCAATTTCAATGTACATGTAATGTAACATCATTTTAATTTTGTATAATTTATTTTGCATCACCTTTCTGTATAAGTAAAAACATAAGTTTGCATAGCCTGACATGACCCCCTAACTTGTGGCTAAAATTTTAAATATGTAAATTTTTATGTGTTTTTAAATGTGTTTCAGTATATTAAGAAAGCAAAGTTTGTCATTGAAACATTGTATAACAATACTGATTTGCCTAATATGATAAAATTAACTGTTAAAGAAAAAAAGCTATCTCTTGGTGAAAAATTAGGATTTAAAATAAAATCTTTGTTACATATCTAGTGAATACATATAAAAATAGACAAGTGCCATGAGAATTATTGTACTGCAATATGAAATAACATATCTAATTTTTCTATGTATGCAGGGTTCCCATAAGTTTTACGACAAACTTCTAAGAGTGGTAGGGCACATCATAAGGATTAAGAGTTGCATAGGAACCTATGTCCAGAAATGTCATTGTGCGCCGCCGGGTGCTGTACAGGAGAGTGCTAATGGAAAGCGAGGATTGCTTCATTCAAGTGGAAGGCACCATACCATGAGCATGGAATGCTATACAAATGGAGAGCTTTCAGACATGCACTTATATGTATGAAATAGCCTGAGGGTAATGGACGAGCCACTGCATGCATTTATCGAGAACGCTTCGCTGACAGACAGCAACCACTCCACAGTTTGTTTGCATGTCTGCATCAAAATTTGTGCAGCTGTGGGTCATTAAAAAGTGGCAAAACAAGTGAGGGCAGTCCACAATCACCTCACTTGGTCATTAGGGAAGAAAGTATGTTGGATACAGTGAAGAGTAATCCAAAGACCAGCATACTTGCCATTGCCTCTCAACTAAGAATGTCTCATACCAGTGTCCAGCGTGTCTTGAACACCGAGTCCTTCCACGCCTTTCATCTCCAAAAGGTTCAGTTTCTGCTCTCCGATGACTATCCTGAACGTATGCATTTTGTACAATAGTTTCTACAAGAAAGTGCCCATGATGTTAATTTCCCACACAATTATGTGTTGTTCATGGATGAGGCCACATTCAATAGGGATGGCATATCACCACAATCAGCATCTGTGGACTCAAGAAAACCCCAACAGTGTGCATCACCACATGCCACAACAACACTTCAAAGTTAATGTATGGCCAGGTTTGGTCGGCAGCTGCTTATTCAAGCCATACCTTTTACCATCCAGGTTGAATGCCGCGAATTATGTGATCTTTCTGGAGGAGATTCTTCCTGGCTTACTTGACGATGTCCCACCAAATGTGAGGTGCAACATGTGGTGTCAACATGATTGGGCACCTGCTCATTTTGGATTTGGACTGGATGTACGTAGCCAATTGAACAGATCGTTCCCACATCGATGGATTGGGCATGGTAGATTGTTTCCCTGACCCCCACTCTCACCAGATTTATCAAGCCTTGATTTCTTTTTGTGGAAAGCCTTCAAAAATGTTGTGTATCACGATCCTATTGTGTCTGAAATGGATCTCATGGCAAGACTGTTCTGCGCAGCTGCTACAATCAAAGAAACTCCTGGTGTGTTTGAACATGTATGGCAATCAACGGTCCGTCGGTGTTGGGCATTTTTGGCATCTGACATCTGATGGTGCACGTTTTGAGCATCTGTTGTAACATTTAAGCTGTCGTACACCATTTATAGTTATGTCCAATAAATGTTTCAAATTAATCACTTTCTTGTTTGCTTTCCCATCTTCTACCTCTGTTACCACTTACCCGTAACATTTCCAGGCATGGGTTCCTATGAAACTTTTAATCCTTATGATGTGTTCTACCTCCCCAAGAAGAATATTGCAACATTTACTGGACACCCTGTATACATTACCCAAGCACACATACTATATTATACAGTATTCAGTTACGTACACAAATACGTGTTTGTGTGTGTTCTGAAGTAGATGCTGAAGTTACAAATTGGGTATCTCTGATTTTATTAAAAATGCAGCATCAGAAAATGAAAATTTAAAAGTGATAGATTGATAAATATCAGGAAAATAAAACCTCAAAAAGAAAATATTAGATGAGACTGTTAATAAATAAATAAAATTAGAATTTTCTAGTGAGAATATTTTTTTATAGAAGATGTTTTCAGTTTAATGTTGCAAGATGTAAAATAAATTTCAGGAATAATAAAATTGATACAAATATTTTATTAGAACTTTATAACATATGCATAGAAATAATATTAATTTTGTTTTCGTGTAATAGTTAATAAATTTCTTTTCTCAATAAAAATAACATCGGTAACAATTAACTGATAAATTTTTGGCTGGTGTTTTAAATTTCAAAGATTTTTTAGACACTTTAATATTGAAGCATGTTATTATATTTCTTAATGGTCATGTACTATTGCGAAAAAATATAAAGAATGCTTTTTCGGTTAATCTTCGGATTATGGTAACTTGGCGATTTTTTGGCGACCAATCCTGTTACGGCAACCTGCTAGTTTTTTTTTGGACGCCATTTTGTTTTCACAAAGTAAAGGCAATTTTTTTTTTTTTAACTCAACATTTTTTTCCAACATCTGCTAGCCGAATTACGCTTATCTACAACTTTTAGGAACAAAGTGCTTAATCATGACAAAGATTAGGTGCGAATTGGAGAAGTGCAGAATCGCCACTGCTTGCCGCGTTTTTAAGAATTGCAGATACACGGTATCCATGTACACGTCACCTATTTTCACTTAAAAAAATCCCAGAATTGCACAAAAATGGCATTGCGCACACTCTTGACTTTATCCATGTAACTGCTAAGTCCTAGCTAGTACCTTTATCGCCTACCAAATGTCGCCAAACTACCTGTTACCATATTCCAAAGATGAGCCTTTTTTCAATAATATATGCTTTTTTTTTTTTTTTTTTTTTTTTTTTTTTGATAAATAAAACATGTCTTCTGTTTAATTGATGAAAATTTTATCATATTACTCCATCTTTTCATTTGCATTTGCTATAAACTGAATTGTATGTTGTGAAGTGAGTGTTTGTTATAGAATGAAGTGAATTGGTTGACATATGCTCAATGTGAGGAAAAATGAATGGTTTTTTTTAAATCATCTACATATTAAATTGCATCACTTAAAAAATCTGTAGTTAATGTTATATTTCAGAATTGAACGCCTTGCTCAAGATATTGCAGAGGACATAGGAAATGAACCAATTTATGCTCTATGTGTTCTTAAAGGTGGTTACAAATTTTTTACTGATCTGATTGACCAAGTAAAGAAGTATAACCATTATGCCACACGGAATACAATTCGCATATCTGTGGATTTCATTCGATTAAAGAGTTACAAGGTAATAATAGGACGCTTATCAAACTGAATGATTGTGGAAAAAATTCACTTTTCTATGTGTTAAATTTGATATTAGCATACTAGTGCAACCATTTTAGTACAGGGTGGCAATTTTTTATTGTAGAGAAAGAAAGATGACTAGTAATTGCAAAAATATATATATTACATGTATATTTTATGTTTGACTTGTTTAGTTATTCGAAAAATAGATCAGTAAATGAGAATTTTTTTTTAAATTTTGTTTTGTAGAAATTCTGTGCTGATTGCTTTAAAAATAAAATCAGAGCAGTTGTTCCCTTTCATAACATTTCTGCAAAGTACTGTATTTTTGCAAAATTTGTACTGCAATTTTTTTCTATTGAATGAAGTCAGATCCACAAGTGCACTTTAAAATTGAGTTTAAGGCAGAAATTATTCAATTTACTTGTAAAGAGATTTAGAATCTGGAATATAGCAAAAAGAATACATAAGAAAATAGCATGTTGCTAAAATGAAGACTTCTTACATCTGTGGACGTGTACGGTTGCTTTAAAACTATTATGCTTTTGATTGACAGCATCTGGTGGATTCTGAATATTTGGTGACTTTTGCTATGGTGGTTGCACTAACATATAATTACCTTACTTTTTGTATGATTATAAACTAATCTAAAGTAATTAATCAAAATGATATTAAAAAATCTATATATTTAGGTAAACAATAAGACAACTAAAAACATGATTCAAGTTTTGATGTAAATGAACGAGAGTATGGCCATTTGTGTTTGAATAATTAAATTTGAATCTTTAAAATGTAGGATGGAATTTTGATTTATATATGAATGGAAATTTACTGATTACTTCACTTTTAGCTTGAAAATTCTCATGAGTATATTTAAAGTTTGGTTTAATCCTAGTATATGGTACACTCGGGATTTGGCGACAGTATGATGAGCAGTAAATGTGTCATTATGGTGCCCGCGACAATTTTCAAAATGGCACCAAGGCTGTACCATATACAGTGCAAAGTCTATAATCGGGACTTCGGCGATTCCTGATTAGGGGTTTTTCCGCATTAGAGATCATTAATTTAAATCTGGTAAGATGGCATGCAGAAATTATACAATTAAAAATATGAAACCGTAATTTATGAAATAAAGAGCAATTATGATCTAAAGAGTATCAAAATTTACAAAAAAAAAAAAAAAAAAAAAAAAAAGGCTTAATATTTATTTCTTTACTTTATTAAAAATTTCTTCCAATGTAAGCTGTTTCGGTTGCTTCGTTTTTTTGGGCTAATACGTTCTCTTTAATTCTATAAATAGACATAATTTCTTGTTCAGTTATAAAGTTCCACTGTCCATGAAATATTTTGGGTTGAGCCATTAGCATTGGACTTGTCAATGGCATGTCCTCGCGACACTGTCTGACCCATTCAATCATCACTTTGTCATGATCATCACTTTTAGCATAACAAACCCTTTTTCTGTTATTCATTGGAAGTGCGGTGTCAGAATCCACAAAAAATTCAAAAAGTTCCTTTTTCTTTTTGCTTATGTCATATACAGTTGACTTTCCAATGTCATACTCCTCGCATAATTTTGAAACTTATGTGCCTTTATCCATTTTTTGCAGCAATTCCGTTTTTTGTTTGATGGACATCGAAACATGCTTTAGCTTTGTAGATCCTTTGGCAGCTCCAAAATTGGAAACTCTTTTTTACATAATCGAAAGTTCAAGCTTAATTTTATAAAATTGCTCTAACAGTCTCCAAAAAATAATAAGCCGGATCCAATTAGAAGATTAAGGAACAGCACAATCTGCAACATTAACTGAAATGCCTTAGAATCAATAAAGATAATTTTAGACTAGCTTATATCATCTGTTATACATTAAACGCTCATGCATAAACGCATTACATGCATTCGTAAAGCATACAAAAAAAAAAAAGTTTGTGACTTTGAGGTCCGGATTATAGATCATTTCGGATAATGGACGTCCGGGTTGCGGATTTTGTACTGTATTAGGATTATGAATATTTCAGAAGCAAATTTATGGTAATACTGATGAATGTAAAATTTGAAAAATGCCAGTACACGAAGTGTTCATATGGAAAAAAAAAATGCAAATAATTAATTCCAGCCATTCTGTTGCTTAAAAATTCAAGGTAAAATATTAATTTCAAGGAGATTGGGATTATTATCAGATAAATGTTAAAAAATTTGTTAAATAAATATTTGTTCAATTTCATTTAGTACTGTTTGCATACCTCAGTTTATTGCATTTTACACGTACTACACATTTTACAAATCTTTTATTTGCATCAGCTTCATTGAGGTCAGCCATGACTGCACCTTTTTTTTTCGTTGTTGTTGTCACACTGTGGTAATTTTCACAATATTTCAAACTTTCTATTGTTATTATATTCATGTTAGGCAAAATAATAGCCTCTGCTGACCTCTTAAGAGTTTAGTGTAGTCTTCAAATTACTTAATTCTGTTTGTAGTAAAACTGTACATCTTTGATTCAAAATATCTTTTACAGTTGGATGGTGTCATAATTTAAAATTTCACATTACAGTCAGGTGTTATCATTGTGGCAGAAGGATCTTTTTCTCAGTGATAATTTCATGTTTAATAGGTGTTATAAATTTTAATTTGGCTCTATATGCCCTCAGTGATGTTAGTACGGGCATCAATTTTGGATTTTTATATGCCAGAGAATGATTCACTGACAAATGCGCAAAACCTTGATTACCAAGGCTGTCGTACACTTTGCGACAGTTGAGATAGTTGTGGTTTTTAGGCAAGATTTTCCGAAAAATCACTTCAACGACGTCTCTTTCGTGCTGATCCTCCACAAGTAAAAAAAAAAAAAAAAAAAAAAAAAACATATTTCTTTGTGCAAGGGACACAATTAGCAAGAATTGGAACAATCAGTTAGTCAGCCAGCTAACGAAATCCAACGGTCAATTAACGACAATTAAAATTCCAAAGATTTAAAATACGGTCAAAATGCAAAATACATGATACATGTACTAAGCCCTTGATCACTAAATCAAGCAGATCCAATCAGATTTAAATTTAAGAAGTACATTCACAAGTAACAAAAAGATGGTTGCCATAACATTGGGAAAATAGTCGATTCTGGATTATTAAAAAAAGATACCAGTGCTGATATTTGCTGTAGGTCAAAGAGGCACTCTTATCCACTACAGCCACATTCGCCATGAAAGTGAGACTAGTCACTGTGATAAAATGATAGTATTATGAGCCAGTAAACGAAGCTTTGTGTGTCAAACAGCTGAAGTAGGACAGCAAAAATACAAATTTTTAACAAACATAACCACAGCAAACATAAGAAACTGAAAGCATCTTATTACTTTATAGATTATATGACAGTAAAAGTGATGTTTTGGTAATATTCCGTTAGAGTGGCGTCAGTTAAAAGTAACGAAAAAATTAGAATAAAACAGTGCTACAACAACACGCCAAATATTGTGGCTCGAAATTTCTAGTTCTCTTTGAAATATCATCACTTGTTATTTTTTTGACATATTTCACCATTTTTTTTAGTACGATGGATTACACAATTTGGCAATTACTTAATGACCAAAAAAAATGTCATAAGATTCTTTCAAGACATAATTCATAGCAGTAGACTTTGTTCTCAAAATCATCCCATGAAGTTAACTTTTGACTCAAACAAAGCTCCTACATACGTTCTTCCTGTGTGAAAAAAAGGATCGAGAACAAAACATGGTTTGAAGACTCCGTCTTCCTTTCCTCAATGCCATTTGTTTCATCTATCTGTGGTGTTAAGAATTGACATTGATTGAATTTTGCTAACTCAGTTAGAAATCAGCCATAATACGACAATAGATTGGAGTAGCTACTTTTAAGTCTTTTTACAAAAAAAAGAAAACAACGTTGGTCGTGTTTTTCCTGAACAGTGGTATTTCGGAATTTATGTTGGGAAAAGTCACGCGAATGGCAACATTATATTTTCAGACTGCTGGAAAGTATGTAAAAAAGAGGAATTAAGAAATGCTAGGTATGAACATTTCTCTGTGAATCACAGTTATAATTTTGTAGACTGCGAAACTGGATGCCATACCCAAAACTATGGAGTGATTGTGGGGCAGTGCTAAATGGAGAAATAAACGTCATCAGGGCACTGCTCAACACCATTTAGAGTTGTATTGGATAGAATTTATGTGGCGTCGGTTGCATTCAAAAACTGGAATTTTTTTTGCAATTTGAATGATATCTGTAATTTTATGCCATCTGTTTAGATTGAATTTTGGTTTGCTTTGTTATTTTTTATATATCTGTAGAGTATTCTAGATTAAACAATTAAAAAGAAAAAATTATTTTCTCTTAGAATTAAAAAATTAACAAAAATTTACTTTTTACTAAACTAATTTTTTTTAACTCTATTATTGTCCCATAATTTTATACTCAGCAACAATTGATGGCAAAAAAAATAAAGCTGCACATTTTAACTGATGCCATTCTAAAGGAATAGTACCGATTCTTTTAACAAATCAAAGGTACTACCACAGTGAGCATAAGTTAAACTGAAAGAGTCTTATCTCCTTCGCGCCGACTGTCACGTATACGTGCCAGCAACGAACACACTTATCTACCAGCCGACACGCAGGCGTGCCAGAGCATTGTTGCATTCTCTACCGACTGTCACGTATTTGTGCCAGTATCTTGGAACGTTTTTCAAACTATAATTTCGCCACAAGATGGCACTGTATGTCCATATGGTTTTCAGATACAGTGCATTAGACCTTCTACTTGAAATGAGAGAAGCATGACTCACATACACGTGTTTTTGATTATATAAACAAACGGGGAACTAAATGTTTCCGAATGGCGTGATTTATGACGTCTTTAAATCGCACTTTATTCGCACGTGGTAGTTGTTTTATTATAAGTAGAAGTTTTATATGCGCTAAAGCGTTGAGTATTTCCGTTTACAGTTCAGTTTTTAGAAAATAATTAGATCTTGTTAGACGTGAATTCTTTCTGTTTTACTGTTTCAATGTCGAAGCGTCGAAAATGTTTAACAGAGCATGAAATAGCAGAAAAATGATGCAAAATATTTCAGATATGATTCTGAAATTCTGATATTCTGAATTGATTCGAAAGATTAACTGAAAGACATTTTCCAAAACTTTGTTCAGAAGAGACTGATAAGAAATGAGACGACGATGCTTCGTTTGTTCACATTCCCGGAAAAATCCTCCAAAACGGCAAATGAGTTATTACGAGTTCAAGGAATGTAACGTAGGACTGTGTGCATATCCCTGTTTAAAATTTTTCATACGAAAAGAGAATTTTAAGTAATAATATTTAGTTTTCAGATTATAATGTTAAAAGTCATAAATGGTGAGTAATTAAAATAAAATGTGTAAAATATGCATTAAACAAGAAATAAGGTAATTAAAATATATATAAAAATATCTATAAAGTTATAAGCCGTTTAAATACTCTATAGAGCATTATTAAACAATGCGTTGATACTTCGGAAATTTCATGGATTTAGGCTTAGTAGCAAAAAAGCCCCCGGCCCTGGAGAGACGCTCGCGGAAGACACTGCTGGCCTCCGCGATAAGCGCGCGTTTTCGCTACCCGGCTCGAAGGGGTTATTGCTTTATAGATAACAGGACAGTAAAAATAAACTTTTTTTAAAATGGGAAGTACTATCAGAGCGAGCATAAGTGATAATAAACTGAAAGAGGCTTATTTATTTATATGTTAATAGTATGTATAAGCATAATTCATTTATACTGTAGGAGATACACCAATCTTCTCCTCCCTAAAAATTTATTCCTTTATTTGCTATAATTGTAATACATTGGAACTAGATCTGTGAATTAGTATTCCTAGAATTCTGTACACAAACTATGCATGGAAGACAAAAAGGTGATGGTTCATAACCACAGTTAATTTTTTATTGGTTGTTATTTGTAAAATCATATTTTTTGAAGAATTATCATGCAAAAATTAAATGTGAATGGTTACTTCTATAAAATTTATTGCTGTATTCTAGTTCGTATACAATTTTACTCACAGATTTTGTTATTGTAGATCTATATGTTGTTGAGACTAGAGGATGATGATTTTTGAAAAGTATATATAAAAAACTAAGCCTAGATAATAACATAGCCAAACATTATCTTTCTGTCATAGCAGGATGCATATAGTGTTGGAGATGTACAGGTTATTGGAATTGATGATTTAAGTGTCTTAACTGGGAAGGTATGTAGCTTACTTTTTTGCTATATTTATATTTGTTGCTATACCTTTATTTGCTATACCTGTGCCTTCTTAAAGTAATAATTTATATGAGACTAAACTGAAATGTAGTTCGTACTCTACTTTTGTGAAAAAGCTAGAAGAAAATAATTGAAAAAAAGATATTTTTATTTATTCAATTGTCTTTCACTAAATTATTTAATGAATGGTTAACAATTTTTTGTCACATATCTGTGTCTATTTTTGGTAAATTAATACTGTGACATTTGTTAAAGCTTGTCATAGCTAACAAATAACAGTGATATATGAAAATTGTCATATTATGCTTTAACATGTTCACTAGTGCTAGCCAGTAATGGAAATAAATTTGTCCTATTTGAGCATATTTAACATGTCTTCAGGTTTCATTTTTTCCCTCTTGCTGTGTACAAATTCTTATATATTGAATGTTTGAGGAAATTTTACTTAAAAGTAATTTTCAGGAACCTTTTATCTCCATACAATACATGTTTTGTGTTAACATAGTCTTATAGCTAAAAAAAAGAAAAATATCATCTACATTAAAAAAATTAACCTTACACTTACCTACCAAAGATGTTTCCTTTATACAAATCACAGCTTGCATCTTGTTAAAAAGATCAGAGTTATTGTTATGGATTTGCAAATCAATGTTTTTCGGTACTTGTCTGTTATCGAGAATGAAGTAAAAAAAAATATATGTATGTATGCATGTAAATATTACGTATGTGCATATATGTCTGTATGTACACACACATACATATGTATGTGTACATATGTATGTGTACATATACATGCATATATAAACACATCCATCCATACATACATGCTTATATGCATACATTTCTGAATCCAGTCCTGATAACAGAAAACTGCCTATTTTTCATTCGTTACTGTCTGTCTGTATATTAAACATTTTAACTTAAATTTTGAATCTTTCTTTAACTAATGCCAAAATTTGCTTTTAGTAATTGGACCCTTAGTTTCATCAATGTTTTCAAATTGATTTAGGAATTAAAAAAAAAAAATGTGGTAAAATTTGTCTTTTTATTAATGTATACAGTACAAAGTCTTTAGTCCGGACTCGTCGGGACTTCGACGATTCAAGATTAGGGGGTTTTCCGGATTATAGATCATCAATTTAAATCTGGTAAGATGTCATGCAGAAATTATAAAATTTAAAATATGAAACCGTAATTTATGAAGTAAAGAGCAATTATGATCTAAAGGGTATCAAAATTTCCAAAATGCTTAATATTTATTTGTTTACTTTATTAAACATTTCTTTCAATGCGCAAATGCGTAAAGCATGCATTACGCATAGGCGAAATTAGAGAATTGCAACCCGAAAACTATTTGATGTGTATTTGCGATATTTATAATGACGAGGAATTTGATTTAAATCATATCAAAGACAGAGTACATTGAGATGAAATACTACATTTAGTAAGGAATTATAAGCTGAATAAAATAAAAATATCTGCCCTCAAGATGAGGATAGTGCTGACAGATCAACTTCCAGTTCAGTGCGCATCGCAACGTTCGACGTCCCCCCCGCACAGAGCAGCATGAAATTGATAAACAGATTTCGGAATGGTTAGAGAAACAAAGGATATGCCTTTATCCATTTTTTGCAGCAATTCCACTTTTTGTTTGATGGACATCAAAACATACTTTTGCTTTGTAGATCGTTTGGCAGCTCCAGAATCGGAAACTCTTTTTGACATAATCGAAAGTTCAAGCTTACTTTTTATAAAATTGCTCTAACAGTCTTCAAAAAATAATAAGCCAGATCCAATTAGAAGATTAAGGAACAACGCAATCTACAACATTAACTGAAATAGATAATTAGATAATATTAGCCTAGCTTATACTGTCCGTTATACATTAAATGTGCATGTGTAAAGGTATTATGCGCATGCGCAGAAAGTTTGTAGCTTTGAGGTCCGGATTGTAGATCATTCCGGATTATGGACGTCTGGAATAAAGACTTTGTACTGTAAAACATTTCTCAGCTCTTTGTCTAGCTTACACAAATTTCACAAAATGATAGCATATATCTAATTGTGCTTTAATATGAAAACACCTTAAGCTTTTATGAAAACTCTATTTGTCAAACAGTTAACTTAGAAAAATCTGAAATTTTATTTTGAACTGCATTTTATTTGTTATTCCCACCCTTCTAAACTGATAATTGAAATTTAGAATATCACTAGTTTTACATATAGCAATTTCAAATTCAATGAATTAAAAAATTAATATAAGAATTACATTATGTGCATTGAGCATTCTGAATATTAGAATTGCATGTAATCTTTCTTGCAGAATGTCCTTATCGTTGAAGATGTGATAGATACTGGTCGTACTATCAAAGAACTTCTAAGGCTTGTAAAATCTTACCATGTGAAATCAGCAAAGGTAGCAAGGTAAGCAGAAATTGCAATAATTACCTTTATAATCAGTGCCGGATTTATGTATAAGCTGAACAAGCTATAGCTCAGGGAACCCACTTTCGTTTGATCTCTGTAATGTAGCAGGATCTCGTCAAATCTAAATTCAGTCCTATTTATAATGTACATTTGCTCTAATCAAATCACAATTAATTTTCCTTTGCATATATTCATTGGAATGTTTATGACAATGTAATATGCCAGCAGTTTGCAGAAAAACTCATTACACCCATTGCATTGTATTAAAAACTGATTCAAGATCTTAAAAAAATAAATAAATAAAATAAAAAAAAATTTAAAAAAAAAAAAAATTGACTAGATGTTTACTACACCTCCAAGTGGCCAACTTCCTTAAACTTTCGCAAAAGATTTTTTTTTTTTTTTTAAATATAACTCCAAGATGACGTTCATGTATTGTACCTTGATTCTTTTTCTTCTAATATTTACACTAGCTTAATTTTCTGGACATATTTCAAGATGTGTGTCTCTGTACTTGAAGATATCATGAAAAATATTTATAAAGACATCAATATTGAAAATTACCATTGACAACCACTTTTACAAAAGACCAATATGATCAGAAACTGTTAAGTGATCATCTTGGGAAGGTTTCACTGTATATTTTTACTATCATTTTGTGTACACAATTATGTTATAAAGTATCAAATTGAAATTAAAACTGCTTGAAAGTAGATGGGAAATAAAAATGTTTTGTTGTTAATTAAATGAAACGACGAACAGTTCCTTTCATTAAATTAATGAAACATTTTCATTTCACAGTTTTTAAAATTTACTTGAAATTTAATAAATAAAAACTTTTTTTTTAGTTTACTTGTGAAGAGAACAAAGAGTAACTTCTATCGCCCTGATTGTAAGCATTATGTTTACTTTAAACATATATTTGTCTAAAGCTTATGAAAGAATTCAATATTTAACATTGGCTTTATTGTATATTGCAGACTGTGGATTTGAAGTTCCTGATAAATTTGTAGTTGGATATGCCATAGACTACAATGAATATTTTAGAGATTTAGATGTATGTATATGAATTTTTTTGGTATATTTATATTGCTTTTGTAACAAATAATTAAAATGCATAAAATTTTATAACAAGATTATATAGTGGTAAAAATTTGACTTTTATGCAACATTTACATATGGACTTTTAAATATGATTAATACTTTTAATAATAAATGTGTAAAATCATGTGTTCTTTAAAAGTGCTAATATTATTATTATATTTCTGGCATGCAATAATTAAGTATTCAGGTAAGGTCCAAAAATATTTGGTCTTTCTCATTTTCATGGCCCCAAAATTATTGGCAAGTTCCTGAAATGAAATAAAATATATCTTGTAGCATCTTCTTAAGTCAGCAAATAAAAAATTGTTAAAAAAATTTTTTAGGAAAATATATTAAAATGCTACCCACAACTGTCATTTTTCCTCAGTTGCATTTTTGGAAAATTGTTTCTTCTACCACTTAACCTATATACAAACCTTTTGAGGAGCAGTATATAAAATAATTTAAATTGTGGTAAAATTTTGCATGAATTGTAACTTAGGGACCCTGAGGACACAAAATTGTGACTTAAAAAAAGTCTAGAGCGAAATCCCGAATTTTGAGGCCTGATATATATTTTATACCGGCGCCCCTCTAAGACATTTTTTTTCCAAGTAGCTGCCAGTTGTTAATTTTTGTTTTTTTTTCACCTATTTTTGCATATTTTTGATGTGCATCTGTAGAGATGGTGGCTTGAATATAGTTATGTAAGTTTAAGTTAAAAACATTTAAAATTTTACTAGAAATTTAAAAAATAAAATTTATATCTTTATGCACTTTGATGATGCCATCCAGCTGAATATACTTCTGTAATATATATATATATATTAAAAACATTTAACTTTTGAAAGGGATTTAAATTCAATTATATTATTTTATGAAAAAATGAACAAATATAACATTGCACCAGTGAATCATATCGTGCTGTAATTGAATTAGTATGATGCTACAAGAAGATGTAACTCGGGCAAAAAATAAAAAAAAAAATGAAGCACTGTGTTTCAGCTGAAAAATTATGTTGTATTTTTTAAGTTATATTTTATGCTTTTATGCTTTAGATAATATCATGCTATGACAGCAAGAATCGCCCACCCAAACATTTTCGATTATCGGGCTCCCTTTTTAATTGTTTGTAATTATAGGTTGAAATATATCATTTTGTTCAAGAAGAAAGGTTGTTAAATGATTTTTATTGCTTGATACACCTAAAGCCCTTGTTTAAAATAAATAAATAAATAAAAAAAACTCAGATATATTTGTCCCCTTTCTTTTTCCTTCCAAACGTAAATGTTTTCCATCTAAAAGTGGCCTTGGAAATATTTTCCCTGCTCACCAACTGTGAAGACTTTTTTGAAAAACCACATACTTGTATTCTAACCCAGCAGAAAAATTTCTCTTGTATTTCCTAATTTCTCATCTCAAATTAACAAAGACGATACTCTAAAGCATAAAAGCATGCTTTCAGACCAGCAGTTTTTCCATTCCACTAAGAGATGGACCTAAAGTGCATTTCTGTTTCCTGTACTAGTAAGTGAGCTTTCCTTTTGTATGATCTTATCACAGCCTCTTTGTGGAGATCATGTTACCATTAGCTATCAATCACCTTATCATTTTTGCTGCATTCTAGGATTTCAGAAAATACAAAGCGACGGGCGTCTTTCAGGGTTAACATGTCACATTTAACCCCTACAATTGTGTGACATTTTGACACTAGATGACAGTTAAATTAAAATTTTAGCTTATCAGAGATGAATGAGAAACTCGACTGAAATAAGCAAAGAATAAAAAGAAACTCAAATAATTTTATTCATTCTCAGCACAGGATCAGGTCGTCAGTAAAATAAAAAAAATTTTGACAGTTGAAAAGGGGGAAACACACAGTCTCTTCACACTTTTTATCTTCCTTAGTCATCAGTAAATCAAAACTTGCAATCATATTTTTGAAAAAAGAAAATTAACATGTGGCCTACTCGCCGTTTTGTGATGAATAAACTTGTATACATCTAACTTATGTAACTAATTCATCTAACTCTCCATTAAACTTTTTATATTCAAGTGATCATTCATCAGTCCAACTTCCAAACATAAGAATCATGAGTAATATTGAATATAACAAAATTTATTGAAATTATGTTGCAAAATAACCAACTTCACACAAAGCAGTGATCATCTTACAGAATTCCAGTACATATTTTAAAATCACCATAAAACTGATCTGCTCTATCTTTACTTCTTAATGGCTAAACAAACAAAATGTGTGCTTTATTTTATCAGATTTAAATAGTTTATATTAGGAGTATGCTTGGAATATTTATTGCTATTGTCCGTGGCATTTGAAAATTAGGTCGTAAAAATGGGAAGTACAGAATTTTTTTACCTTAATATATTTCACTAATTTATATCTGCGTAAAAAAAAATTTGATGTGTACCCCACATGACTTCCTTGTACGGAATATTAAATTATACACATTTTTTCTTGGATTTTATTTAAACTTATTAGATTAAATTAAACCTACTTCGCCGACAGCGCATAAACCACAATAGAATAAATGCATTCTTTAAAATTCACTTTGTTTACCATAGCACACTCAGGCGCTAGGTTTACTTAACAGTATTATATTTCATTCATATTATAACTCACAATGCACAAAATGTATATCATTTAAAGAATTATCTAATTGTTGCCACATGTTCTATTCAAATACTATAATAAACCTAGAACTATGTATAAAAGAAATTAAGCAAACAAAACGGAAACAGTTTTTCACAGACGATTGAGTATTTCTCATTTAATTAATTCAGTTCTCACTTCGCGAGAAGGCAAAAATACATGAAAACTAAAAATATCTATATTAAAAATTACGAAGTAAATCTCAAACGCTTATTTCCTCGAAAAAATTCCAGAAAGAATTAAGCATGATTTGATTGGCAATAATAAATGAATGCATTATCTTTGTTGTTGAGAAGCTAAGTTTCTCTAGATTGGCAACAAATCCACTAGTCTCCTGTTTCAAATGTAAACATCAATGGCTGCCATTAAAAACGGGCTTAGCGGCAATTAAACAACTTTAAAATTGCTGATAATTCTAAAAATATTGCACACAGATTTACTAAAGGCATAAAATCCTTAACCGGAAGATAAAAACAACATAATTCAATCATTTTTAAAGCAAAAAATGTACAATTTACAACATATAAGAGTAAAGAAACTGAGATCACTGAGCGGGGGGGTAATAGAGTGGATAATATATATAAGTATATTTATATACGTTTGGTGCTGCCGATTGCAACCAAAATACGAGGTGCACATCTACATGTTTAATAAGCAGTCCTATATATGTCCTAAGCAGTCCTATATACAAAATTTCAACGTTCTGAGGCTACTCGTTTTTGAGTTATGTGAGATACGTACATACGTTCGTACAGACGCCACAAAAAATTCTCTTCAGAATTAATTTTAAAGCAGTTTTATAATTTTTTTTTTTGAAGGAAAAGAGTATTTTATTCTGTCCTTACATACAGATATGACGCAAAAACATCGTTAAATTGCATTCAATAGCAGTCAAAATGGATATTTTCGTTGAAATATGCTGCCTGAAACTTTTCGCAATTACAATACTTCCTTTTTACTTCGTACAAGGAAGTAAAAAAATCCTGATTGATAATTTGATTTGTTGCAGAGAAATAATTTTGCATAATAACCACGATATGAGTCTCCTTTTTAATGTAAAGCATGAATTACTTTAGATGTTACTGTTATACATCTGCCATGCTTTTTGGTGCCTCTGAAAGAGAAACCTAACACACTCCAAGACCCATTGATAGCACTATCTAGAGTATGATTTATATAATTATTATTGCAGATTTTTGTGCTAGTCACATACATGAGAAATACAATCTTCAGTGCTGATTTGCTACAGTCTTTGATCATATGTATATTATGCAAGCTGCTTCTTTGTAACTATATTTGTTTTCTTTGCCAAAGATTAATTGTAAGCTAGATCCAGAGACTGAATAACTTGGGAATATTTTCTCATTTTACACATGAAAGAAACCTCATTTGATTATATTCTAAAAATACTTTCTTTGTAATTGAAATATATGCTGATTAATATCAGATTAAATAATTTTTATTAAATATTTTCATTGTGATGACCGTGTTAGTATGAATATTTTTTATATTAAGAATTTTTGTACAGGGAAATGTTTAGAGTGTACAACAATTTTTTTTTTTTTTTTAATGATGCTAATTTTTAAAAAGCTAATTTTTGTTATTTGCCTTAGTCTTTAATTTGCTACCTGTGATGATATTTAACGTAGTAAATTTATCACAGTAAAAATTTAAGGGGAATTTTCTGAGATATTGCAAATATTAAATTTATTTTTTAAATTTCTTCCTATTATTTTTGTTTATAATTGAGTTAATTGTCCATATTTGAGTAACTTTAATTCTGCTAATGTTTAAATTTACTTGAAAAAATACTACAAAGTAATCCTACTTTAGAATTCAAATGAAAAGTTTAAATTTTTCCTGAAGGTTTTAAAAAGTGTCATATTTTAAGTAACATAAAATTGCCAAATATTTCTGTCACTACCCCCTAAACAGGTATTACAAGGCAGTAATAAAAAGACTTGTATTGTTTCATCAGTCTTGAAATCGATTTGAAAATCTGCATTAATCTATTATCACTTTTTGCTTAATTTTAAATGGTATTTGCCATTTAGTGTTTAGAGGCATCTTACTCTAATGAATGAGATTTTAAATGTCATGGCAATATAATTTATAGTTCAGTGCTATGTGCTTAATCTCTATTTGCTCATTGTTTAAGATGTACTGAACGGATTGAGATTTCAGATGTCTTTGATATTTGTAAACTGGAGTAAAATTTAAGTGTACTAGCAAATAAATGAGGACAGATCAACTAAATTGAAAGGTATTTATGTGGGTATTAAATGTTATTTAATTGTTTCATCTTTTAATGGGTTAAAATTATTTTTTCATTACTTTTCTTTTATGTGTCTTTTTGTATTTTTCACTTATTTTATATACACTGGTCTTATAATAGCAAGTTACTTTAAAACAAGATTTTTAATTTTGCTTTGCTCTGAAATACTTGATTAACTTAAGTAGGCATGTAAGATCTTAAGCTCCCAAGCAAGCTCCATGCCATTAAAAATCATTTTTTAAATTAGCTTACATCTTAATTTCTTCATTCAAAAGTACCTTTCAAATATTTTTCTTTTGGTTGTAAAAAATAATCATTTACTGGAAATCCACTTGGAACAGTAGTAACCTAGGAACTCTACATAGCTACATGTTCCAAAATATCTCAGTTTAATTTCAGATGGTAAATGAGTGATTATTTGTAATTCCCTAAACATTTTGCTCATGTAAAACATGACCAAGTATGAGAAAGAAACAGAGTAGTTCAGACTGTTATTACATACTTTGAAAAAGTGAAATAAAGAAATAAATTAATTTAGTGAACATGAAAGTGGCTTTAGTTTATATTTAATTGTTAATTTATGGTAATCAGTTTTGGATTAAACGAAGTGCTTTTTAAAATACCATTTGAGGCTGTAAGAAATGAAAGTTTAGAATGTAGTCAAAGGAATGACTTACAGGGAAAAGAACAAAGCAATTTGGAAGAAACATAAATTTAACCCCAAGTAAAGAGTAGCATGTAACATTTGCCAGGACTGAATTAAGTACTTAAAAAAAAAACCTTTTGGCAATTTGGAACATTTAATTAATTATAATAATACAAACTATACCTACAATTTTATTGAAAGAATATCTGCAGATTTCTAATAAAATTAGAATGTAAGAAACCCAGATAAAGTGGAGACAAGAACATTATTTGCAGTTATACTTTTGATGGTATCTGTATAAAGCATTTGATACTAACATAAAAGATCAGTGGTATTGCGCTGAATTATAAAGTATAATACCATTTCATTAAGAGTCCAGTAGTTGAAAAAAAGAACAAAGGTAAAGGATTATGTCTAATTTGTGTTATAATCTGAAGACAAAGGGGGGGACCACAATTTCTTGTTTTGATTGCAAATGACATATTCATGCTTAAAGTTTCTAAAAATGCAGTAAAGATCTCTGAATTATATTTAGTGTCATTTGATAATTCTCAAGTTATATACAAGGTGTCACAGAAAGGCTGGGAAATGGGCATGTACAATGTGAAAAAGGTCTGAAAAGTTGAAAGTCATATTCTTCCAGGAACTGGATGCACTGTAAGTGATATAGATGCATGTCATTGCTGTTCAGAATTCTCCACACGCTGTTGCGTGAAATCCCGATTTCTTTCACAAACCTCCTGCACTTTTACTGCGAGTGCTATCTACCAGACTTAGCACAGTTTCCTCATTGGCTGGTGTATGTGTTGTTCGATCACAATTATTTGTGGCTTTATGGAAGAACCACTGTCGCATAATTACTGGTGTAGGCAGACAAACATGATATGGGTGGGAGTTTGCTTCAACAGATACCTTTGAGCGCACAGCCTCTGAACAGGCTCAATCATTACATTCTGAGATGTACGCCAAAAGCATATCTGCTTCTGCCATTCTGCAGCCTATGTCTGCACGTAAAATGAAGCTTCATCTCAGCGTGACTCTTTATTATAGAGGCCCTCTGGCAGGTAATTCAACTTTCTGCTGTTAAATTTGCATATTGCCCCTTTAATACTCTCTTGAGAAATTATGCGCTAAGAACCCTGCTTGTCTTACCCAATAGCACCATTTTCACAACTAGATGCAATCGAGTCGTCTATGTGTACCATACCTCTCCTCGAAATTTGTAACATCTTAACTGGGACATCCTTTATAATTAAATGTCTTTAAAAACATTTTAAACACTTTTTTATATATTTGTTAATATTGTATTTTGTGTAAATTATTAAATATATCAGTGGGATTATACAGGTTGTCTGCAACATTTCATGAATTAGTTATACATTGTATATTTATGTTGCACTCGTTAGTGTTTTATAAATTGGAAGAGAACAAATTTAGAATATTCTTAAGTATATTATTTAATATAGAATTTTCTTGTAGTTAATTTCTTTCATATCTTTTAGCATGTCTGCATTGTAAATGAATATGGGAAGAAGAAATTTGGTTCCTCTTATCCCAATGGAGCTTCAGTGAGGCAGTAAACATCTGTGATTTTTTTATGTATATGTGATTATGTATGCTTTAGATTCTAGTGGCAGTATTATTTCTTAGAGTATTTATCATAGCTTCTATGTGTTCATCAATTCCATGAATAAAACTTGAATTTTTGTATGCATTTACAGTATTAAATTTCATATTTTTCTTAATGTGTTCCTGTGCTTGTAAAAGAGACTTGAGGCAAGTACATAATTAAAATAGCGCTTTTTACTTTATTAAACACACTGTGACACTATATAAAAATATGTATTCTGTACTAAAACATGGTTATAGATTACATTAAAGTACATTATAAAACATAAAATCAGTTGTACAATATACATAGCACATTATTAAAATACTAATTATCTGATTCAAGGATAATTCTATACCAAAATATTTCAATGATCATAATTTATACGGTTTTTAGAAAAATATTTTACCATTAGCTTTTTAAGGTGCATAATTTAAAATGACATTCAAGTTTTGCTATCAGAACTTGAAAAATAAATATTCCTCCCCCCCCTAAAAATTAAAAGAGTCTTTGGACTTGCACACAAATATTTAAGTAGCAAATCTAAAAATAGTCTATCACTTGCTATTGATCCTATGTACAAGTACATATACATATCAGAAATGCACACTAAAGAAGATATCACATTTGAATTATCATTCTGTCTATAACTCTGTAGTAAGAATATATTTATCCTGAGGAGGTGAAACACGCCATGGAGATATATGATGTTCTTCGATGATAATAGATTTTGTAACAGGTTCTAATGAAGAAGAGATCATCTGAAAAGAAAGTATCTAATAAGAAAACAATGAAAAGTAATAAAATAACTTATTTCATATTGTCAAATAACTAGCTTTAAAATTGTCATTTGAGGACAATGTTAGAAGTTTAAAAACATTTAATTCAAAACTTCACTGCAACAGTAATCCTACACACATAAAAAAGGTCTGATGTAAAATTCATAATCTGAAAGAAGAGCTTTTAAAATAAAACGATAAGTTACAAGGGTTAATTTCTTGACCTAAAATTTTTACGTCATCCACTTTGACTTACTGTTTTAATACCTGAATGAACAAATTTCATGCTTTAAAGGAAAGATTTTAGAGTTTTAAATGAATCCAGTTTTATTTTAGCAGCTTTGGTTATTCTTTATAAGCAAAATTTATAAAAAAATAAAGAAAATCCATATTAATTCCATAATCTGTATTAAGTTATTAATTAAACTATTATGCAATACACCAAATTAAATAGATGCGCAGAAATTCTTAGTGAATGAAACAAAATTATTTCAAAAATAAGCTGTGGAATAAAAGTAGATCCATACCTCTATTTAAGGAATGTATAAAATAACAAAAACTCCACACTTAAAAATGTCTGCTTTTTCTGTTGATTACATAATAAAGTGTGAAAGTACCTATCACATTTTCTGTATAATTATTTTGCTTAATTCTCAGTGTTATATCTGATTATTCTTTAATTCAAGGTTTCAAAGATTAGTTCAAATGAAGGTGCAAAGAAAAGATGTTGAGAAATGCACTGATTTAGTAACTGCAATGGACAGTATATTACTGTTATACCAACATTATATATATTTGATTCATAATTTATAACAAATTGTTCAAGCAATTATTAAACATTTCAGTATTGCTACATAAGCAGTATGATAATAAATGCATAAAATCATTCTCTCGTCAATCTCCCTCATCATCAGTCAGCATCAAACTTCAATGAAAAAGCATCAGCACTCCAATAACTAATACAGTCAAAAGTCGTTAATTCGGACATCCATAAGCCGGAATGATCTATACTCCGGACCTCAAAGCTACAAACTTTCTGCGCATGCGTCATGTTGATGCATGCGCGTAATACCTTTACGGCTGCGAATATGCGTGTGCGCATGCGTGTTTAATGTACAATGGACGGTATAAGCTAAGCTAAAATTATCTAATTCAGTTAATGTTGCAGATTCCCTTGTTCCTTTGGATCCGGCTTATTATTTTTTGCAAACTGTTAGCGCAATTTTATAAAAGTAACTTTCGATTATGTCAAATAGAATTTCTGATATATATTTACTAATATGTAAAGGATCTACAAAGTTAAAGTATGTTTCAAAGTCAATTAAGCAAAAAGTGGAATTGCTGCAAAAAATGGATAAAGGCATTTTCTTTGTTTTTCTAACAATTCCAGAATCGGTTTATCAATTTCATGCTGCTCTGCGGAGGAGGGGAACGTCGCGGCGAGCGATGTACTGGAAGTTGATCTGTCAGCACTATCCATATCTTCAGGGCAGATGTTTTTATTTTATTTGGCTTATAGTTCATTACTAAATGTAGTATTTCATCTCGATGTACTCTGTCTTTTATATGATTTAAATCAAATTCATTATAAATATCATGAATACATATCGAATAATTTTCTGGTTGCAATTTTCTAATTCAACTAGCTAATGTATGTTTTACGCATGCGCGCGTTGAAAGAATGTTAATAAAGTAAAAAAATTAAATATTAGCTTTTTTTTTTTTTGTAAATTTTGATACCCTTAAATCATAATTGTTCTTATTTCATAAATTATGGTTTCATATTTTTAATTTTATAATTTCTGCATGCCATCTTACCAGATTTAAACTGATGATCTATAATCCGGAAAAATCGATAATCCGGAATCGCCAAAGTCCCGACGAGTCCGGATTAATGACTTTTGACTGTAGTGAATAGTTAGCATTATTGTTAAAATAGGCAATGCTGGAAGCACTTCTCTAAATTTTTAAACGTAAGAAAGAATGTCTGACCAAGTTATTTATATTTTGTTGACAGATTACTGGATGGCTTAATTTTTTTAAACTTATCCTTCATGTTTCAGATTGACATGAATTAAATTTTTAAAATTAATTCTTTTGGCTTCAGAAATAAAAGGTAGTCACATTCATATTTTGTTATATATTCTTTTTTAAAGTGGCATAATTTTATTTTCAATAGTATGATACCTCTTCTTGCATCTGTTTTTGATATAGCCCCATAATTGCCTTATTCATACCATAATTTTGCTTCTTATTTTATTACATTATTAAATGGCAAAACTTCTTTGGTTATGCAGAATGTCGTATGTTATTAATTTAAGCAATTTAGATTTGTTCAGTTATAGAAAATAAAAATTTATAATGTAAATAGAACTGAGAAAAGTTTAAATCATCCTATTGATTTCTTCCACATATGATTAATATTACATTTAATAATGTTTATCTATCTTGTTTCTGTCATTAATGAACAATGAGTCATAATAACTTAATTGTCAAATCTATTGGAATTCAAATTTTAAAATTTAAATCAAAATGCAATATTTAATGGTTGAGAAATTTAAAAAGTTTTAATATGGAGTTGTAAAAAAATTACCACAGTTTCAGCAACTTCTGGAACTAAAGGATGGCTTTTTTTGGCTTTGAGGCAGGTATCACAGGAACTTCTTAAAAAAAAAAAAAAAAAAAAAAAAAACATTACAGTGATTTACAATTATCTGATGCTTTACTTTCAAATGTTATAAACTCTACATTATATTTACTTACTTATCATTTAAATCACAGGTTGAAATTTTTACAGGCAGATCATGTTTCTCCTCAGTAGGTAAATGTGGTTCTTCATCTATGTCACCACAGAAAGATTTATCATCTAAAATAAATATGACAAGGTAATAATATATCTACATTGACAAATAATAAATATACAGTTCTTCAATAAGAATTCCTTTTTTCTAGTTATTTTAAATTAAAAAAAAATCTGAAATCTCTTAGATTTTATATTATGCCCAAAGGTGTTTTTTTTTTAAACGTTTTGTGTGTTACCTTTATTTATTAAAATCATGTTCTTCGCATTTAAATCATAAAATTCAATTCAACAGCAATCACAAACTACTTTTAAAAGCATATCTTTGAATTTATGATACACAGTCTTGCACACTGGAGAATAACCCCCCCCCCTTCTTTTTTGTTACGTGTTGCCATTTTTTGAAATCCGTTTCTTATCAAAAATTTTGTTAAAGTTTTCAAAATATGAAATAGATAATAAACAAAATTCCACACTCAGATGCCTATATTCTAGTGGCAACTTATTAAAAATATGATGTCTCTAGTATCGTTTTTTTTTTTTTTTTTTTTTTTTTTTTTTTTGTATTTTTTTGTTTTTTTTTTTTTTTTTTTTTTTTTTTTTTTTTTTTTTTTTTTTTTTTTTTTTTGTTTTTTTTTTTTTTTTTTTTTTTTTTTTTTTTTTTATTTTTTTTTTTTTTTTTTTTTTTTTTTTTTTTTTTTTTTTTTTTTTTTTTTTTTTTTTTTTTTTTTTTTTTTTTTTTTTTTTTTTTTTTTTTGTTTTTTTTTTTTTTTTGTTTTTTTTTTTTTTTTTTTTTTTTTTTTTTTTTTTTTTTTTTTTTTTTTTTTTTTTTGATTTTAATTTTTTTTCCATCTTGAACGTTTTTTTTTTTTTTTTTCCTTTTAAAAGGTTTTTTTTTTTTTATTTTTTTTTTTTTTGTTTTTTTTTTTTTTTGTTTATTTTTTTTTTTTTTTTTATTTTTTTTTTTTTTTTTTTTTTTTTTTTTTTTTTTTTTTTTTTTTTTTTTTTTTTTTTTTTGTTTTGTTTTTTTTTTTTTTTTTTTTTTTTTTTTTTTTTTTTTTGTTTTTTTTTTTTTTTTTTTTTGTTTTTTTTTTTTTTTTTTTTTATTTTTTGTTTTTTTATTTTTTTTTTTATTTTTTCTTTTTTTTTTCTTTTTTTTTTTATTTTTTTTCTTTTTTTTTTATTTTGATTTTTTTTTTTTTTTTTTTTTTTGTTATCTTTTTTGAATTTTTTTTTTTTTTTTTTTTTTTGCTGTTTTTTTTTTTTTTCTTTTTTTTTATTTTTTCTTTGTTCTTTATTTTAATTTACGTTTCCATCATTTTTTAATTTTGTAATTCTTTTTGCATGGTGTTTTGTTTGTTTTTTTTTTTTGCAGTTTTGTTTTTTTTTTGTTTTTTTTTTTTTTTTTTTTTTTTTTTTTTTGTTTTTAATGAGAAACATATACATTCATACAGTTCTTCATATTATTTCGCATATAATCAGGGAATATTAGGGGCTTGAAAAGTGAAAAGTGAACTTATAGTGAATCAACACAAAATGCCAAAACAAAAGAATAGCCTATGAGCTAACGTCCTTTGTTAAAAATTTAATAAATCATTTATTAAAATAATTGATGAATCAAATTAAGAATAAAGTAGAATTCTATTCAAGCTAATGTTAGGGTGACAAAATACATGAATGACACATTTCGTTTATGATATACAGTCACAGTCGTAAATTCGGCACCCATAATCCGAAATGATCTATAATCCGGACCTAACAGCTACAAACTTTCTGCGCATGCATTGCGTTCACACATGCGCACAGGCATTTATGAGTGCGCGTAAGACCTTTATGGCTGCGAATATGTTTGTGCGCATGCGTGTGTAATGTGTAACGGAGGTAAGCTAAAATTATCTAATTCAGTTAATGTTGCAGACTGCGTTGTTCTTTAATCTACGAATTGGATCCGGCTTATTATTTTTTGCAGACTTTTAGAGCAATTTCATAAAAGTAAGCTTGAACTTTCGATTATGTCAAATAGAATTTCCAATATATATATTTACTAATATGTAATTTGTATCTACAAAGCGAAAGTATGTTTTGAAATCCGAAATCTGTTTATCAATTTTAGGCTGCGGATTGGAAGTTGATCTGTCAGCACTATCCTTATCTTCAGGGCAGATGTTTTTATTTTATTTGGCTTATAATTCCTTACTAAGTGTAGTATTTCATCTCGTCTTTGATATGATTTAAATCAAGTTCCTCGTCATAATAATTCGCTTCCGATAGTGAAGAAAGTGACCCAGAGGTTATTGAAAACGAAAACATTTCGATTGACAAATTAGTCAGTATTCTCAACACAGCAATTATAGGACTTGAACAGCGGAACTTTGTAACTAAACAAGAAATTATGTCTGTTTAACAGAATTAAAGAGAAAGTATTATCACATGAAACGAAGCAACTTACATTGAAAGAAATGTTTAATAAAGTAAACAAATAAATATTAAGCTTTTTTTTTTTCTTTTTGTAAATTTTGATACCCTTTAGATCATAATTGTTCTTTATTTCATAAATTACGGTTTCATATTTTTAATTTTGTAATTTCTGCATGCCATCTTATGAGATTTAAACTGATGATCTATAATCCGGAAAAATCGATAATCTGGAATCGCCGAAGTCCCGACAAGTCCGGATTAACGACTTTTGACTGTATTAGATTACAGACAGGGTACAGTGCATTTTGCTTTTTAATACCAAAGAAAACAATAAACATAGAGATAATAAAATATACAAAAAGTAATAACTAAATTATTTTGATATATATTAATATAAATATTTAATCATTTTTTGAATAAGGCATATATAAAAGTTTCTAAAACAATATTTTTAAAAGCTAGAGATTTTAGGCTTTTTAATATGGTATATGTACTAATATTATTGATGAGTGGTCTCAAACTCGACAGCCTGCCAATATATTTCAGTTATGTGTTTATTGCAAATAGGGTGCTGCAAAGATTTCAGTTATTTGAAGTCCAAGTTTACATTCTTTTCATTACCATTAAAAATGAACATGAGTAATGCACTAGAAAATCTGTAATTGGAGCTAATTAATTTAAAGTGTGATATAAATCTTACTCTTAAGATTTAAAGATACAGATTTTAACTTTTATTAGCATTTGCCAAAAATAAATTAATTAGCCGAGTTATGAATTTTTGTATTAATAACAGTCGCTTTGTTTGAAATTACACTTACAGGTGAACATTTCTTTTTTCAGAGTTGAAGTTCAATAAGAAAAGAATTAGATCGACCGATAAGCATTTAGAATCTGCGGTGAAGATAATATCTAGTAATGTCCCTCCAAGGCTACAAATTTGCCCACCACTGGCCGAGCGATTAAAACTGCTGAACACTGGTAGTTTGGTCCAGGGTTCCAGTCATGGTGAACAGGCGTGCTGCATGGCTGTGTTTTCATAGTTTTCCTCATGTGTGATGTGGATTTGGTTTGGTTTGGTTTATTGAGATTATGGCAAATTACACTAGGGCTATCTGCCGAAGGGGAGGGTTGTATGAATAAGAGAACCTGGCTCATATACGTGTTACACATGGAAGAAAACTGCTAAAACACTCATGCAGCCAGCCCATTCGCAGCAGATCTCAGACCGAACTACCAGTGTTCAGCAAATTTACCACTCGGTTGCTGGTGAGCCTAACGTGGACATGAGCTAAGGGTTCCATTTAAAAGGTCCTCCATCGGGTATACTTTTCTTTCTGTATAGTGCCTAATGGCAGAACATGTTATATATAAAAAAGGCTAGAATAAATTAAGGTTAAATAGAAACTCCTTCTCCAGGTGCAGGAGTGAAAACAATGAAGAAGCATGTGTTCATGTAATAACAGTAAGAAGAAATTTTGAGAAAGTTCCAGCTAAGAAAATGATAAAAAGCTACTGCCAAATTCTATGAAAAGAAGTGAAAACAAGTATGAAGTAATTTCTGTAAAAGTTGAAGGTAAATATGGTTAGAAATTGGATCATTAAATAAAACTGAAAGATTTTTTTTATAAATGTAAACAAATCTCTAAGAAATCTAATTTGCCAACACAATATTTTGTTAGTAATTTCAGCCACAGAGAAATGGAAAATTGATTTTTTTTTTTTTTTTTTTTTTCCCAGCAGCTTTGGGCAATAGAGGATTTGTGGTGTTTCTTATTTCTTAACAAATATTTGATGTTCCTTAGTGCAAAATTTTCAGACTGTAAGTTTAATCATGTATACTAAGAGAGTGCTCTCAAACTATTGGCCAGCCGCAGCAATTATATGCAGCCTGCAAATATATTTCAATTATGTATTTGGTGTAAATACAGTGTTGCAAAACATATCAAGATTTTAATTATTTGAAGGTCTAGTTCACATTATTCTCATTACTACTAAAAACCAACATAAATAATGCACCAAAAAATCTATAAATTGAGCAAATTAATTTAAAGTGTGATATAAATCCTATTGAAAGACTTGAAATACTGATTTGACTAACTTTTATTCGTCCTATCAAAAAATAAGGACATTCAGTTATGAAACTGTTTGGAAATACATTTATATGTGAACAGCACTTTTTTACAGTTGAAAATTAATCAGAGTCTGATTGACCAAAGAGCATCAGTAATTCATTATGAAGATAATTTCTAATATTTTTTCTCCAGTGCTCGGACATTATTATACAGACAAATTTGTATCTACATACAAAAATTATAATTATTTGCATATAAGCATATGTATCTTTCTATACGTGTCAAAAAAATTAACAAAGAAGAGAAAGAGACCATGTTATTTTCAAGTTTTGCACTTCAAAAGTATTTTCTTATTTTAAATTAAGGTAAATTATTTAATTTTTAATTAAATATACTGCAATTATTTGAAATGTCAGTCTGAAACATTAATATTTAGCTGTCAATGTGTTTGAATTACAAACTACAAAATGTCTTACACTCACCAAACTTTAGATTTCAGATAGAAAATAAATATAAATTTGAATTTTTTTCCTTTGTGATATTATTATTTATATATGTTTTGATAAATATTTAGTAAACAAAATTTAAAATTGAGTTAAAATATTTGTTATTCTATATATAGAAACACTTTCATTTTACTAAAAAAAAAAAAAAAAAAAATTCTGGCCTGTCAGCTGTTTTCAGATTGTGCATTCGACCCCCAAATAATTTGAGTTTGAGAATACTGTATTAAGCAACACTGGAAAGGCATACTACTGTGTATTTAATTATGGCAAAGCTCACTAGGGCTATCTGCCTAAAGGGAGGGATGCCTTCGTGGAGGACTTTCTAAGGGAAACTGGCTTGTATACACATTACACATGGGGAAAACCACAAAAACACCCATGCAGCCAGCCCGTTCGTGGGATTCGAACCTCAGACCGAACTACCAGTGTTCAGCGACGTTACCGCTCGGCCGCTGGTGGGCTCAACACTGGAAAGGAATCTTGTATATACCCCAGAGTTATTATCAAAATCTTCCCTGGAGGAACAGGCCTTGTTTATTTATTGACACTGACATATACTATTAAGCATATTAAATGATAAAAATCCAACATTTAGTTAAGAGTATTTAAGAAGGAATATATAATTGGAATTTCTTTTTAATTAATTTCTATTATTGTAATATTTTTCCATGAAAAAGTGCACATTCTTCAGGGTGACCCAATAAATTGAAAATATGATAAATAACATCAGAGAGTATGATGTACTTACTATTTTTAGATTTTTCTTCATTCACTTTGGATTTCAAAATATTGCATTTCATTTGATCAAGAGGTATAGGTTTGGCACCACCACTACTTGGCAACATTTGGTTATTTGGAAGAATATTAACATCTTTTAGTGAAGAACTACAGCCACCAGATTTAGGCAGAAGACCTTTTCTTAATTTAGATGGTGAAGAATCCAAGGCTTTCAACTTGCATGCTAAAACTTCAGCTTCTAAAGTACAGAATGCAATAATATTGAAATATAAATATTCTGAATTTCCAAATGGTCAATCATTCAGGAAAGCTACATTGTAGTATAAAAAATGTCCATGGAGTGGTTAAGATCAGAATATAAAAAGTATGTAAAATAATTCTATTATGGTTTAAGATCAGAACAGAAAAAAATTGTATAGAAGAATTGTTTTATGATTACTAAATTAAAGATTTCAAAAATCAAAAAAATAAAAATTCAATATCATTCCTTAATTTCTTTTTATCATTATTATTATTACCATTATATTCTTTTAGTAATGCTGATGAACAATTTTAAAGAGACATATTTTTGGACTGTTTTTATATTATTCCTATTAATCCATTTAATCAGCTATTAATCATACAGTATGTCTATTATATGAGAAACATAATCAGAGCAGATAGCCAGGTCTAGGCACGTGACGAAACGTAAAGACAGCAAGCCTCATTTCATGTATATATGTAAATATCTCTAAACTAACTAACCCTTTTTGATAATTTTATACTAACATACCCAAAACATTATAAGTTGGAGCATCTAACAAAAGTAATACTCTGATGTTAAACATGCTTATTAACAATAAGGTTGAAAAGATAAACAACCAAAAAAGGTTGCTGGTGCAATGATCAGAATAACATGACTGACCTGTAGTGCCCATTGAGAGGTGAAGCAGGCAGAGAATAATAATAAATAATCAGTTATTAAAAAGCATTTCAACCAATGTAGAGAATTAGAATTGCATTTACACAAATATAATTATGCTGATAGATGGAGAAAATATCTGAAGAAACTAATGCTTTAACTGTTGAGAAAATTAATGAACTGACAAATGATTTGTTAGTTTCAGAAAGAATTTTTGCTTTTAAGCAATGGCAATTTACCTTTATAAATAAATAATGACTTTCATTTAAAATTATTTCTGACATATTAACTCTATGTAAAAACAATAAACACTAGTCTTTTAACATTAACGGTATGCAGCGTAGTGAAACCTCATATCATGAACAAATTATTTGAGGAAAAACAACTTAGATAACAAATGATATCTTGAGTTACAAACACTCAAGATGGCAATATATAATTTTCATCAATTATATAAGTCTTTGAGGTAATTTATACATGCCTCATAATTAACACTCAAGGTCTTCTGGAAAAATAATTTTAATACTTCCCATTGCTTAACTCTCATTAACAAGCCTGTCATTTGGAACTATGACTTTAGTCTGGAAAAAAAGTATAGCCAGATTGTGTTGAAGGCAGACTTTGATACTTAAGACGTTTTACTGTAATTTATAATGCCGTGCTTCTTAACAAAACCATGGGCTAGGAAGTGAACAATGAAATATAGATATGTTTCTAGAGGACCATAAAAATAACTTACAGGCAAAAATCATACAGGCAAAAATTTCAACAACTTTAAAAATAGCAACAAAAAGCAGCTGTGGAAGATCTGAATTCTGAAGAAGGGAAAATAACACCACCTCTTGGGTCCACAAAATTTGAGCAAAATAGGATAAGATGAAAAAGTTTGACTTAACGATATCACTTCCTTAAAATAGTTAACAAGCTATAGTATAAAAGCGAGACATGGCATTTCAATGATAATGCCATGCCTTGTTTTAAAAACATTATAAAATGTAGGTAACAATAAATCAGATTGGACAAATTTTGATACACATTGAGTGATACAGTGAATCACAAGTAGAATCAAGTGATGCTCAAAGAGAACGAAAAGATAGAAGATGATGAACTCCTAAAGATAGTTATCTGATGTTTTTATGGAAGTAAATTTTGAGTCCAAACATCTCCCTCATCATTTTCTACTTATACTGTTTTTTTTTTTCCACATGCTTTCTTTTATACAGGTATAGTAAAATTAAATTTTAGTCTGTTTCATCTGTTCAATTCTGTATTTTTCTTTTTATATTTTTAATGATTTACATTAGATTTGGACTATGGACTTCTGCACAAAGTTAAAGTTTAAATGACTGTTCATCTGCTGTTCACAAATGAATTGACCCATTTTACATTAATTTCTATGGGAGAAAATTGTTTCAGTTTATGAACATTTCAGTTGTTGAATGGCTTTGAGGAACTAATTAAATTTGTGAACTGCGGTTTCACTGTGCATTTTAAACATTACAGCATTTTATGAGAAATGCTTTACCCTTTCCTTCCATAATTAGTCATTCCATCAGTTGCATTAGCAACACATTTAGAAATGCTACCAGCCATTTTTTAGGAAATAATATTAAGAATGTCTCAACATTCATAATGTTCCGGCCATAAATGACATTTATGGTAGTCGTTGTATTTGATTTTATGCCTCTTGCTAATCTCGCAGGTGTTCTACAGAATTAAGAATTGGGCTCTGAGAAATCTAACTTTTCAATGCCATTTATTACCAACAGAACATTCCTGCACATATTAAGAGAACTGAAAAAATTATCCATAGCTTTTAGGTATGCATTGAGATTCATGATTTGGTATAGAATAACTGATCAACAAACATCTACAAAGAGGAGAAAGAAAACTGCAAAAACTTCCACAAAATTTCATAACTGATACAAATCAACTCAGCTAAAAAAATATGCACTATAATTAAGACACAATAACACGCCGAATAAATACTAATTCAGAAGTCAAACAACAAAAATCAGCGTTATATTCACAAAATTTTCACAGTGAACATTTCACTGTGAAAATTTTGTGAATATAACGCTGATTTTTGTTGTTTGACTTCTGAATTAATATGCACTATATTATCACTATGTCCAAACATATTGATCATACTGGAAGAATGTAAAATATAACTCATCTCCCTGAACAAAAGCTTTTCAGGCAACATAAAGTCAAGAAATGATAGTCTGTATGTTATTTGAAATAAAATTTTGTACTTATAAAGTGCTATTTATGTGATCTAACCATAACTCAGGTATGGACAGCTAGGGTACTAAGGCCTCCAAGTATTTCTTCAATGGCTCCAACAATGGAAAAAAAAAAAAAAAAGAAGAAGAAGAAGAAAGAAAGAAAGAAGGGCATTTTTTAACATATCTTATATTGTTTTGTAAGATTTAATAAATACATGTGACCTTCTTGTGGCCTACCCCATACCATATTGCTCTTATCTTTTCAATGTTATCATTTACTACCAATCATTTCATATCTAGTTTAGCTACTAGCATGAAAACATGGCACCAGTCCTCATTATCGTCATCAAATCAGATAAAAAAAATCAAAATCTTATGACCAGTCAATACCAGAATGCATGAAGTTCATATCATTGTATAGTTAGTAATAACATCACTGTATATGTTACTGCTTAAGTATGATAAAACATCTCCCTTTCACGTCCTTATCTTCCCACTCATATCGTATTTTCTCACATGTCCATTTTTTACATTTCAGGAAAGCTCTAATAATTTTCAGATACTTTTAATAATATAATGCATGGATGATACCTTAATTTACCAGGACTCATGTCTTAACGAATAAGCAAAGCAACATAGTACTGAAATTATTAACGAGAATACCAAACATTCACAGAGTTTCCTCCACTCCCATTCTATGGTATTATTTCATTACATATTTTAACCTTGATCTTCTTAAAAGAAGCTTGGATACAGTAATATCAAAATGTTAATTTAGTAGCTCACAGGCACATCATGAAACTCGTAGATTAAAAACAACTAACTGAATAATCAAAGATACAATAACTAATTACTATTAATAGCTGAAAATCAATTATAACAAGAGAAACATGAAGAAACAAATGTTTTAAAAAATACCAGATAAATTTGTAGTACTATCTATATTTTTAGCACAACATGAAAGTTCTTGTTTTGTATCTTCAGCTTCAGAAACAAAGGATGTGTCCTTGGCAATTGATTTAATCAATTCAGTGATCTTGTTCTCTGCTGCAGTTCCCAAATTAACACATGGTTCCTCTTCATAGTTAATAATAGGTATAACAGGAGGTACAGCTGAGATATCATTGTGAATGCCTTGTTCAGAATTTTCTGTTGTACTGTAAAAGCAAAATATTACTGTAGTATGTGTTTATGATTTTAATCATAAAGTACATTAACACTTGTAATTTCAAGCCAATATAAGAATGAATGGGTATAAACTTTCACTGAATGAATATCCAAGCCATACCTTCAAATTTAAAGCTAATTTGAAAAAAAAAAAAAAAATGAATTAAGGGAATCATTACAGCTTAATTTTGCATGCAGTTTTGAGATTTTAGCTTCCAGTTTTTCAAAAAAGCACTTTTTTTTAATAAATGATATAAGAACTACTTTTTAATTTGCCTTTCTATTTTCATCCGCAAAATGATTATGCAATGATAAAAAATTAATAGATAGCAATTGTTAAATTAAAATCAGTAATAAAACTTCAGAATTTATATACATAAGCTAAAAAAAAGCTTGTATCATCAATATTTACACTGAATATGGTTTATATGTAAAAGTTCAAGTTAAGGAAAATCTAAAAAATTTCATCACATATTTCACATTGACATGAGTTTTGCAAAAAATTAAATCACATATTTTACAAAGACAGGAATTTTGCAAGCACAGTACAAAGTCCGAGATCCGGACTCTTCGGGATTCGGTATTGTTCAGGATATTAGATCATCAGTTTAAATCTAGTAAGATGGCATATAGAAATTATCAAATTAAAAATATGAAATAATGAAGCATTTATGATCTAAAGAGTCACAGATTTTACAAAAAATAAAAGAGCTTAATATTTATATGTTTACTTTATTAAATATTCCTTTCAATGAGAGATGTTTAAGTTATCTTGTTTTTTGTGCTGATACTTTTCCTTTAATTCTATAGACAAATATAATTTCTTTTTCAGTTATTAAGTTCCACTGTTCAAATCCTGTAATTGCTGTGTTGAGAATTCCGACTAACATGTCAGTAAAAATTTTTTTTGTTTTCAATAACCTCTCTGTCACTTTCTTCACTATCGGTAGTGGTATTTTTTGGATCTAGAACCATACTACAGATTTCGCCGTCCGTTAATTGATTGATGATTGGGGCATTGTCACTCCAATGAAAAATTTCTGTAAACTCTTCTTCTTCCCTAATTTTTGACGTCTGGTGCAGCCATGCGAGCTCTGATGCCGGTTCTATCTTTTTGTGAGTAACAAATCAGTTATTCTTAATTCAAATAGCACTAAATGTATTTTAGCATATGGAAAGATTTTTTTGTTAAATCTTTCCTCGCCAACATTTCTTAGCGCATTCAATTTAAATCTGTAATCCCTGCCAAGTGTAATGCTAGCAGAAATGTTTCTGTCATATGTTAATAAACATGCGGTGATGAAAGCAAAATATAATAAATACTGATCCACCAAGTTTGGCGTCAAGGTTATAAAATATTAGTAGGTATAAAATCAACAATGTTTCAATATAGAATGTTTCGGTTTGAGATGTATGCCAAGCAGATACGCAGCACAATTCAAATTTTTGATCACACAAATTTATGTTAAAATAATTATTTCTTCAATAATGAGGTATTTTATTTAGTGCTAAAGTAAGATTACTACGAAAATAATTTTCAAGTCATTTTAAATATTCTAATCCAAAGAAAATGAAAATAATTTTCAAGTTATTTTAAATATTGTATTTTGATGTTTCATACCAGACTTTTGGTAGGAGCATTTAAAAATTTTTAGAAGTTACTTTTGCACTGTGCAAAGTAATAAAAATGATAATTTAATTTGTGGTTACAATTAGCTAGACATTGGAAATGGGATATGGAAAGTCAAAAATGAGTATGGAAAACTTTCACAAATAAAAATATTTTCTGTAACTGGAACTTCACTATATCTACACATATAATTTATATTTGAGTTAGCCAATATTCCTACAAAATATTTACAATTGTCATGTTGCAATACTCAAAAATTAAGATTGATAGCATTTTTACTTCCTTATACAAAGTAAAGGAAGTATTGCAATGGCAAAAAATTTTAGGTATCATACTTCAATGAAAATAACCATTTCAACCACTCTCGAAATCATATAAACATGTTTTTGGGTGACATCTGTATGCACGGACCAAAAAAAAAAAAAAAAAAAAAAAAAGACAGTTTTTGCTAAAAAGGATTGTTAAATGGATTCAGAAGAGATTTTTTCTTGATGTTTGTATGTATATATCTCGCATAACTCAAGAATGAGTAGCTGTACAGCGTTAAAATTTTGTACATGGGACTGCTATAAAATGCAGTTGTGCACCTCTCTTTTTCGTTGCAATCAGCTGCACCTATTGTATACACATATTCCTTGCTTTAAAAGCGATTGAATTGTGTAGCTTTTATGTTTCAGTTATGGCTTTTTATGTTTCAGTTACGGCTTTTACACTTTTAGTTAATCTGCATGCAATAGTTGTAGAATTATCAACAATTTAAAATTTTAAGAGGTGAGTTAAGCCTAACAAGCTGCCATTTGTTTACATTTGACACTCAGAAGAATAGTGAATTAAGCCAGTTTCTGCACTTTCAATGTATTTTTGCCAAGAGATCAAAAGTAAACTTTCAGTTCTATGCACCAAAAAATCTGCCTTCTTGCCTGCTGGCCAAACTGCTTGTTTTTGCACAGAAACTCTAGTTGCAATTGTAATTTTTTTTAATGTTTTAACTGCATCTGGTGTTTTATGTTTTTCTCTATTTTACAATTTTTAATGAAGATGTTTTGAGTTTTTATGTATTTCTGCTTTGTTGCGAACTGAGAACTGAATTGAATTGAATGAGAAATATAGCTGTAATGAAATTCAAGGAAATAAGTTTAAATGAAATGCAGCAAAAATGTGTATAATTTAATAGCCATACAAGGAAGTCATGTGGTGTCCATATCATGTTTTTTCCTATACGATTCATATATGCTGATTTCAATAACATCAGCATTAATGAATTTTGTAGGAAAATCACACCTTTCTGTTTTGTGATAAAAATCTTTGTTAACCAGTATAATCAAGACTCTTTGTATAGCTGTGAAGCTAAATTCAAACTAAATACTGGTGGGGGCACACTGCTCACAGATAACAGGTACACAAACTACGATTCTGAGTACACATGTCTTTTACCAATCAGAATGATGATGAAAATGTTCATAAACATCAGGTAACTATTACATAATGTATATATATATATTAAAAACTAAACTAAAGGCAAAAACTATTATGAAGTATACATATTGTTCTTAAATAGATGAATTTGTGCTGATATATGTATCTTTTATAATTTGAAAGATGAAGATCCTTTGCTGACAGATAAGAATTATTAAAATGGATAATTTACTAAAAACAGCCCTTTTGCTACAACAGTTTTGGAACTTTATTTGCAGCTGGAACCCTATTTTCCAGTTTACTATTAATGCTATGGTAATAACAGCATGATGTAAAAAATGGAAAAAACATTTGATATCAAAAGAAATGTTAAGAAATAATAAATCATAGGTAGCTAGAAACTATAAGAAGGCCAAGTTAATGAACAGCGAAATATAAGAATTGTAATTAACACTATAGATGTTATATGTTAATATAGTTGCAAAATTTTGAAAAAAAAAATAAATATTTAATACTTACATAGTGACAGATTTTTGAAAATCGTGAGTTTGTGAATAATTTGGACGCCGAGAATACCTTTGGCTTGGTCTTCTTTCAAACTGCACTGTTCTACGAGCACGGCTATGTTGTGTGGCTTGGAATTCTGTTCTACCACTATACACAATGAAAATAATGTTATAGCATACAAATTTTACAAATAAGTGAACCTAACTAAAGAGATGAACATTATAAATATAAACCATTATACCAGGTAAAATCTAAAAGCTAAGGGTTGTATCATTAGTAGCTCAAATTCAAAAATATGAATATTTAAATACTTGTGAACTGCTAACATACCATACCATCTTAAATTTAAGCTAAATATGGTCATACCATGTTTCATTTTTTATTCTCTTCCTAGACATTCTTTCATAGACAGTCGTATTTTATATGTTTGAGAGAATCTCATACACACTCAAACATATACAAATGTAAAATTTTCCAGAGTATTAAAATGGTATACTTTTTTCTGATGTACTAAAAGAATTAATCAGGGATAAGTGGGTATTTATATTTTTTAGTTAACTAATTATCTTCCTTTTTCAGTTTTCATGCCAATGAATGAGAAACATACACAGTTTAAAATACTAGCTTAATTTATCAAAAGGCATCAAACACAAATGTCCTAGAAGCGCAAAATATCCCATAAAAATATCCAAATCGATTTTTGTTTTACGACGAGAAGTGGTAATTCTTACATATGTAAGATATATTAAATAAAAATTATCAAACCTGAAATGCTTTATAAGGAGAAATATTTGCTTGGCAATGATATCAAAGGGTAGATATTAAAAAAACATAGCATACTAGCCATCATGTAAACATTTTATTTTCATTGAGTTATCTGGTCACAGTGAACTGCAACAATTGGCTCCACTATTTTGATGCAACTGATTTTCAATGGTTTCTGCCATTAGGCAGTCAGACTATAAAGCAATCACCATTAACCATAGTTGATCATGGGTGCTCATCACTAGCCTTTTGAATAACTTCACCAAAATGTTACCTAGCAGCCATTTTCTTGTCTAAAATGTGGAATGAAACTTGCTATAAAGATCATATTCAGTGTCAAGAAATCTGGAGACAACTTCCTAAGCTTTTTCATCCATTTATCCTTTCTTTTCTTGTTTACTTCGTGTAACATTAATTCTGAAATCAAGATTCCTAAATTTGATCTTCAGCTGAGAGCTAGTGAACCCTAGCTTTCAACTGAAGATCTAAGACAAGGCAAACCAGCTCGAGCTTTTCCAATTAATTTTACAGTTGTAATCTTTAAAAAGAGCATTACTCGTTCGGCTTTGCAGGTGACTGCATGTAAACTATCAAGGAACTGTAAAGAATCTGAATTTTTAGGAACCAAATTCTACTGAAATACTAACAAGAAATCACAGTAAAATATTTCACTTCTTTTTTATAAAAATATCAAGATCCGAACAAGAGTTCAAAGGTCGTAACTTAGAATAGATTTTGCAATCTTTATTCCCATGAATGAATGTGAAAAACCTTCATATTAAAAAAATAATGTTAATTTTCTATACTGTTTCAAATGTTCAGTGAAAACAAAACTACCTACAATGGTATGTTAATGATGAACTCAGCTGAAAAAGAATTTCAATCTCAAAAAGTTCCAGTCTGCAAAAGGACCCAAGCAAAAAAAAAAAGCATAAAAATTTTATAAAAATGTATTGTTTCTATACATTCTACTTAACCTATACCAATAAACAACGCATTTAATATGAAAGATAAATAAAATTCTTTCATCTTTTATATTGGTGAAAGTTTATTTTAATTTTAGTGCTAGAACGTAGGAAATATGCAAACATCTTTCCTCCTGGAAAAAGCATTGTTTTTAACTGAAACCTTCCAATAATAACAGGAATAAGAAATTTTTTTAAATAAAAGAGTTGTTCATTTTTAATTTTTAACACCACCAAATTTAAATGTTTTTTTCTCAAAAAATTTTAATCATTTTCTTAAAGTTTCTGGATAAAAGATTCTTAGATCACAGATTAAGAACAGCACAGTTTCCAGATGACATATTTTGAGCATCAAATAAATATTCTACACTTACATTAATCTATATAACATATAATTAATATGCTGATTTCTAATTTATGCAACTCTGACATTTCTCAGAAATTTGTAAAAACACCTTGATTTTATTTCCTTCAATTATAGTTTTCCTTGATTTTATTCTTTTATTGCATTTGCATTACTTTTAAGATGTCGACATGATAAAAAATTACTTTATGCTAATACTTTAAATAATTCATGATATGTTTCGTTTATCATAAATAAGTAATAAATCTGTATCACTATACAGCAAGCATTAAAATCCTATAAAAATTATTACAATGCATGTTTCCTAAAATTCTGTCTGGTCTAAATTGATAGGAATTGTTTATTTCTAACAGTAAATTATAAAATCATTTGATTGCTTGATCATATTTTTAAATCTCCATTAAAGAAATTGTTTGGTTAGTGCAAAATAATTTTTTATTCAAATTACAAAATTAGCTTTTTTAAATTATTTTTTTAGCAGATTTTGCAGTCAAATTTCTTGAATAGACTATAATCCTGATTATTCAGTCACCAATATTATTCAACTACCTTTCTAATTTAAATATACAGTCCAATTAAAACATGCATAATATAGTTAATAACAGACTCATAGACTGTCTCCGTATAATAAAATTAATATAACAACTACTGTATAATAGGAATGTATTTAAAACGTATGTATTATAGTTAATAATAGACTCCAACATAAATTATCTTCATATATTAAAATTTGTAAAACAACTACACTCAAACCTGTTTTTGTGCAGTGGGATAAGGACCGCATAAAAAAAATTTACACGAAACTTCACGATCAGCTATGAAAAACAAAGTCATTTAGAGTTAACTTTTTTTCAGTTACCATGTAATCAGTGATCAGTTTTTGCTACGACTGTTGTTTCTCTAGATGTCTTGGTAGCCAGATATACAAGATTGAAGTTCCTTTTTTTTATTGATTGTTTACTTATTAATTTTTTTTATTAATACAAAAAAAAAGCGCACAAATAAAAAATCACACAAAAACAGGTTTGAGTGCACTCAATAATAAGAATGTATTTAAATTTGGCATTATAAAGTGCAAAAGTCCAATACTTATACCTGTAGCGGAAACGAGACCCCATTCGAATAAAACCTTGTTTCACAGCATGTTCTACTACAGGTCCTTTCAAACGGAAAAATGCATGATGTTCTATGGCACACTTCCACAAGTGTTTGCAAGCTCTAGGGTTGTGTAACCGAAACACGAAGGTGTGTTCTTGTTCTTTACCCTAATTGCATTATAAAATAATCTATTATTAATGAATGATCATACATAAAAGCATACAAAAAACTATTTAAAAAACATATATTTTTTAAGTTCAATTCTAACCATTTTTGCACTTTATTCAAAAATTCTAACATTTTCCTTAAATTTAAATAAATTCTCTAACAATTAAAAAAAAACAGCTTTAACTTATTAAGCTTAAAAATTATTTAAATGCTTCATTTGAAAAATCAGCAATAAATTAATTTTTGCAAAATACTTTTTGAGTATTTGATTAGGACCTTAATAGTTTAAATTTAAAAAAAAAAAAAATCCTTTAAAGTAACTACAAAATTAAATGTATTTTGTACATAATGTTAAATACATTCTACAATATTTTGACATGAGAATTCAATATTTTAAAGACCAAACACATATTTAAAATATGCAACAAATATTATCCTCTTCTTAATGTCAGAATGAAGTGACTTCATGCATAACAAAATGCCTTTCACAATTACAATGCAATCATGAAAGGTATTTTGTTGATGTAATATAGCAGATTTCATATGTATATAATTGTACTAATATTTCATTCTGAATAATAGAATTATTCTTACAAGCCAAATTTCATTTTATATTTTTAAATTTCTCTTTCTTCTTCTTTCTTTTTTCTAAAGCTAATTTTATCACTACTTCTGATGTACTTGCACTTCTGTAACATCCACATATTAATTGCTTTACTGAAACCTTTTATCCTTTACCCCTTTTATATTTTACTCCATCTACATGTTAAACTCTTTACTTTCATAAATTTCTTTTAAAAACCACTGACTTACCATTATTTCAATACAAGTAATTAGTTAATCTTAGTAAACATTGTAGCAATGTTTTTAAAGCGGTGTTTTTATTCTATTTCTTTACTGTAAAAGTAATAACTTAATCTTTCTTTAGTAGCTTATATTCTTAGTAAATGTATTTATTTACAGTAGCCTTTCATCTTGAAAAATGACATTTTCAACAAAAAATTAATACATTTTCAACGATATTGCATATTTAAAATTTTTTTAATATTTTGCTATGCTTAATGCCGTTTTTCAAGATGGCAGGCGATTATAAAAACCACGACAATTTGTGGAAAAAAAAATCTCCAAGAACTTGTGCACTGATCTACCAAAGTAGTACAGAATCATGTTCTTAAAAATTAAATTGCTGAACACATATTCAAACATCCTAAACTGCAAATAATTTTTTAACTGCTTTGTCTGAATCAAAACAAACTACAAAGCATCAACTATTCTTTTCCATAATGGCAGCTATGCTGAGAAACAAGTCACAAAACAACCAATGATGTAATTTTTAAATTATTCTTTGCTTTATTTAAAAATATTTTTAAACGTTCCTTTAGTGTAATAACAGAACAATTTTTCAACAGTTGTAAAATCATATTTTCTATTTTTATAGCATTAAAATTTAAATGGAAAAAATACTCGTAAATTTTAGTAATAAAAATGCCCTATAACACTTTCAAAACTCTACAAACGTATATTTAATTTGATTAATATCTGAAGACAAAGAAAATATACTTCAATAACTCAAGGAAGAATATATATATGGATCTTACTTCATCATCATCTTCAATCACAACTAATGACAGTTTCTTATTTTTGAAATTAAGCTTTGTAATTTTTGGCCAAAAGAATAAACCGATTTTTGTGCTACCTTCAAAGACTAGAATACCAGTTGGAGTAAGACCTAATGAGTATTCATTGCCATCTTTCCCCTATAAATGAAATCAGAAAACAAAGAACATCATACAACAACATTCATATTACACTTTCGATTTCTGAAGTAGCATTAAAAATCACTTCACTAAATATCACTAAAAGGTAAAAATATCAAAAAATATATTTGATTGATGCATAATACTAAATTTGAATACATTAAAGATTTTATATTACAATGAAATAATTCCAACATCAAATAACATCAAAAATGAAATAATTTTTCTAGAAGAAATCTGAATCGAAAAACAGCATAAGAATTTTAAATCATGCATGCATACAAATTTAAATGTTTTTTTGTTTTAAAAATTTATAATTTAAAAAATATAATTTATTTGAATTTTACTTGAATCTGCAACTAAAATTTTAGTAAAGTAATATGATAAATACAATGCAATTACTATTTTTATAAATACCCAAAATAATTTATTCTTATAAGAGACTCTAATAAGAATAAATTTCATGAAGTTTTTGTAAAGAATTCAGAATAATTATGACTCATTGCACAAACTCGTCCATTGCAGTATTGCAGTTCGAACTCGTCCATTGCAGTATTAATGTCTCTCTTTATAACCTGTTAATTATAACTGAGATGCCAGAGCAGGAGATTCAAAATGGCGTTATGCAATAAATCATCGTTAGATTTCTCACTAAAAGATTTAGTTCCGTCTCAGATTTATTTAAAGACTAAAAAATCGGTTCAGAGATCTCTCAATATAATTTTTGAGAAATGATAATTTCATTCTATCTCAGATTTATCTGAAGACATAAATACGAGGTTGGCGATCTCTCAATCTAATTTTTCACTAATGAAGATTTTATTTTCCTGCAAAACAACTGCAACTCACCTTGGCATGGATGCCATATGTTTTTGTTAGGTGCCTGGAGACAGGTTGTACCAAATATCTAAGCAGTGGTCACACAAAGTCGAGATATTCCGACATGATGGTGTTAGAGCTGCTTCTTCACGATATCCCAAATGTTAAGATCCGGCTAATTATGTGGCTAGGACATTAATTGGAATTCATCCTTATGCTCCTCGGCCCACTCCAACACCATTCGAGCCTTGTGAAATGGGGCATTGTCCTACTAGGATATTCCATTTCCAGTTGACAAGACAGACACCATGTGCAACTGATCCGCAATTATGTTAGATAGTCTGCAGCTTTCATGGTCTGTTCTACCACTACTAACACTACTAAGTGCCCCATAGCCGCCCATAAAAAGAACCCTAAAACATAATACTGCTATCACCAACCTGTATATGACCTGCAGTATAGAAGGGAAGAAACTGTTCACCTGGAAGACATCATACCCTGACACAACAATATACATGTTGAATGAGAAATTGTGATTCATCCGGCCAGGCAATTGTCTTCCATGGTGTCCATGGTCCAGTATGAATGTTCCTGGGTCAAAGGTAGGCATAGTTGACAATGATGCTTAGTCATCAGAGGCACACAAGTGGGACAGCTGCTGCGCAGTCCCATATCCAACAGTGTCCACTGAACTGTGTGTTCTGAAACACTTGCATTTGGATCTGCATTGTATTGGACTGTCAGCTGAGCCACTGTCCACGCCGATTTTGCTGTACCAAGTGAAACAGTTTCTGACGTCTTTTTTCTTTGATGATGTGTGGATGTCCAACACCTTGGCGTCTACTGTTGATTTCATCATCATTTATCCATTTGAGTAAATACTAACAGTGGCAGATTGTGAGCAATGCACCAGTTGTGCAGTTTCGGAGATACTTGTTCCGAGTCTTTGGGAGATTACAATCTGTCCACTATTAAATTCGCTTAGCCTTTGCAAAAGTTAACTGTAAGAACAATTCCTTACTTCCTCCAGCAGCAGTTAAATACCATTTCCACTTAATCACGTGCCCTCCACGTCATCCAGATAAGTTCCTTGAAAAAATGTGGGGATGGTCATCATGTTTTGGATCATCAGGTGTACGACAATGTGAATGCCTGATAATAAAAAAAAAGTAAATGTGATAACCTCAGCAATTGTGACCATAAATGTACTGCCAGTGTAAAACAGATGACTCATTTTCCCACTTAAATGGCAACAAGTCTAAGGTTCTCAAAAATCTACTACCGGTAACAATGAATATATCAGCCTTCACATATCAAATAATAGTCATTACTCATGACACATATTAGCAAAAACTTCTCCAAGTTAGGATAAGATGACATTAATCGTAATAATCACACAGATTCTAACTAATAACAGCATAATGCATACTGCAAAATGTAGGCCACAGAAGCCAATATCCCACATGTATTCCGCTGACAGTTCAAGACATTTCAACTTGTAAGCTAAAAACATTACAATTCAGTCTCTAAACAGTAATGCCAAATTATGTAGTCAGATAAAACAATTTTCTTTTTGTTGTATTGGACTGACAGAAGTATTTCTGTGCAATATCACATCCTGTGTAATGGTGGCCTTGTAAAGAAGTAGGCCCAGCAACAGCCGAGCAGTAAAATCACTGAACACTGGTAGTTCCAACCTGGATTCGATTCCAGATGGAGAAGCTGTCTGCATGGGCATTTTCATGGTTTTCTGCATGTGTAACGTGTATATGAGTCTTCCTTTAGAAAGTCATTTATGAAGGCAACCCTCACCTTAGGCAAATAGCCGTAATGTAGTTTGCCATAATCAACTAAACCAAATCAAACCTGTAAAAAGGTAGACAAGTCTATCAAGAGTGCATTAGATCTTTTAGTGACTTGGAAAGGCTACTTCGATAGAATATCTACTAGAATATCCATATTGAGCTCCTATGTGCATTTAGGACCATTATTTTTCTTAAAAAAATTTCCATCCTTATTTCAGCATAGTAAAATTCTACATTGTTAGGCTTATATGACTCAGGCTCATGTAATATTCAACTGAGCCTCTGAAAACCCAGTGGCTTCTAAGCACCAAGATTTAAATTCTATTTAATTTTTCTGGAATGCTGTTTAAGGAGACATTAGACTGAGAAATCTAGAACCAATATCTAGAATGATAAGAAGACAGATATGCTGATTATGCATATGCCTGAATGGTGAATGCCCCCATGTGCACTTTAGCATAAACAATGTGCGCATTCACCTTTCTATGCCGTGACACTGAGTTGGAACAGACATTACAAGAAGAGGATGCCATAAATACGGCTTATGTATCTTACACTGCAAGCCAAAAAAATATATTATTTTATTAACTTTATGTGATTTATATCTGTTTATTTGTGTTAATATTAAAAATCAATTGCTGCTCTGTACTACATAGATGTGATATATGGAATTGCCCATATTGCACACATATTAATACACCAAGAATCCACATTATGATGAAAGTCCATACTGATAATTTTCTTATATCTACAGAAGTAAATGATTTGCCTTGTTCAGGCTATCATTAATGCTAGAAAAGGTCTGACTTGCCATTAAGAGTTACTTCTAATGTTCAAGACATGTGATATATTACTGCACAGAGTAAATTATTCTTAATAGTGTAATTATTCTTAATTCTTTTCCCACCAAGAAGCAGAACTTAAACTGAATAGAATAATTACTGCTAATATGTAGTATGTGATCTACTGCTTTTAGTTAGCTATTTATTTCTTAGACAGTGGCACTAAAACAGTATTTTTAAATATGGAAAGAGATATAAATAATTAATAATACACAAATGAAATGGTTCTATTAATTGATTCAGTAACGTATTAAATGTTCAATTTCATTAAATTAAAATTTTTTTAATTTTAACAAAACAAAATCAGGAGTGGTCATTAAAGGGTCCTTTTTATGAGTCATTCAGCTATATACATTAGGAATGTTGCACAGCACAGCCACTTGAATATTAAAATCATTTACAGGATTGATTAAGTTATTATCAATTTTGCTACTAACACTAGTGGTACTGCAGACTGTATTAAAATAATGATTAAAATAAATCTAGTAACACTGTAACAACCAATCATTTAAAGAATAAATAACTAACTAAAAGTGGATGATAGCATACAACATTATTACTGAATTATTTTACATATTTTATTTTGATTAAGAAAAATTTTATGAAAAAATATTTCTTATTTTATATTGAATATGTATTTAAAATTTAGGCACTTCAATTCTGTTTTAAAGTCTGAATGAAAAGGCGCTCTTTAAAAATTATTTAAAAAAAGGCATTTGATACAAAAAACCTTTTGTGGGCTGTATGCAAATGCAATCTTGTTTTTAAAAATATTCTGTAATAATAACACAATTAATTAATTAAAAAATAAAAATTACTAACTAGAACAATATGCATATCCACACCATACATCTCCAACCATTTAACTTTGTGCAAAAAGCTCAATTCCGCTTGAGCTGGAGTTTGACCTCTGGAAGAAGAAAAAATTAAAGCTATTCTAATTTCTTTACCTACTTATAGATTAACTTCAGACATAATTTAGATATCGCATTTCCATACATATGAAATCCTCATAAATAATTGCTTATTACATTACTTTTGAGAAGGAAAACTATTTTTTCACAAATTCCAAGCTGTTTTTTCTATGAAACTATACACAAATTAGTGATAGTAAATAAAGAATTGAAAAACTTCTATCATAAAAATAAAATATTCAGTATTTAGTAACTTCATAAATCCTTAATGCTTAGTAAACGAGAGATAACAAAAATTCCCATGCAACAATAATTCAAATATATTTGAAATGATATTTTGAATACAATAAACAATTGCCTCAATCATACAAATAAAATAAAAAAATTATATTTCATTGCAATTCACTTCTATCTGAATAAAAATAACATCAGATGATATCTGTAAATGTAATTAAAGTGTTTAAGTCCCAACTTAAAAGATATATTAATAGGACTATATGATAAAATAATTATGTTTTACACAGAGACAATAAAAATATTTAGAACTACATTTTAACAGTAACTGATATAATCAATTTACTTAATTTATTATTTAAAAGATGTACTTAAGTTATTACTTAATTTATTAGTGTGATTCACATAATAAATTTTCTAATAAGTCCTTAGCATGCCACAACATTATGAAACAAAGTCATCCTAGAACTTTGTAAAATAAATTCATTTAATTTGGAGAGAATCACAAAATTCATTTGAATTTGATTTCATGGAAAAATTATACTAGAGGATAAAAGCTTTCCTTGAGATTTTCGAATAAAAAGTATACTTTAAAAGGTTTGTAATAATTCATTTTTCTGCAGAAATAAATATTTTAATGAAGAGAAAATATTATTTGAAGAGACACTTTCCTCTTAGCTGCTAAACTTTTAAATTTCTACTTTCTCTGCTATATAACATAATAAATAAATAAAACTTTTATATCATATTATTCCACATCTATAATAAATATGACTCTTTTGAATTTTTACACAAAATTCACTATTAATTATAAATAGCCACTCTCAGTTACCCATAATAAAAATGTTACAACACAATTAAACTCATTCCTTATGCAGAGCTGAAATAAGTTGAACGTCATTTTTCTCTCTTTCATTTCTAAACTTCAACTACAAATTAGTTATTAGAATTAGTAAAACTGCGTGATAAATTAGCAAGTAAAATTTTGATTAGAATTTACAGGTGTTTGATAAATATCCAAATTACAAAATAATAGTTGAATAGGGAAACAAAAATAAAATAACAGCAGCTTTCACATGAATTATTTAAATATTACATCTCTCTATATATGCTATGAGAACAAAATTGTCTTACATGGTTGTGCTTTTTAAATTTTTTTAAGCTTAAAGATAGCAGAAACAAGAAGCATTCATTCTCAAAATATTATGCTTTTTTTATTTCTGAAAAGACAACAATTCTTTGCAGACTGATATGCGCTGTGTGTAGAAAGAAGATATGTGTTGTGTATAGTGAGGGTTAAAATAATGATTGCAGGTGCTGTAAGTGGTTTAGAAAGTTTCATGAAAACAATTTTAATCTTAATGATGTACCACATACTGGCCAAGGCTGAAGGTGATGAAATATTGGCTTTAATTAAAATTGATAGGCATAGAATAACTTGAGAGATTGAATATAATTTCTGGAATGAACCAATCAACAGTATCCACAAGTTTACATCAGTTTGGAATTTTTAGCAAAGCCAATGTGCAGATAATGGAGGTGAATTAATGTAAAATAATTTGATAGACCAAATTTCTGCTTGCTATACTTTATTAGTACAATGAGAAATCAATCAGTTTGTAAGTACAATGAGTATTATATGAGTATTTATAAGTACAATGAGAAATCAATCAGTTCGTAAAACAAATGGCTATAATGATGAAATGTATTGCGTAAATTGTATGTATTAATTGTATGAAATGTATTGTAATGTTAAGCATAAGAGATCATGGTGTAAGAACAGAGAGGTTTCTTAGATCAGAACAAAAGCCAATTGTTTATTAAGAGCTGTTACCTGAAAACCAAGCTATTAATTTGGAGGAATGTTGTTCATAACTAAGTGAATTAAAGTGAGCTATTGATCAGAAGCAGCCTGGATTATCTAACAGAAAGGGAAATGTGTTCAAGACAGTGTTAGATAATATGTGCCTTTTGCCAACTGACAAAAACTTCTGCAACTTGGCTGGGATATTTTGGTCTATCCACCATATTCTCCTGACCTTGAGGCCTCCAACTACCATTTATCCACTTATTTAGATTGTTTCAATACAGTTTAAAAAGTAAAAACTTTAGTCCCTTGGAAGACTTTTAAAATCATCAGGATCAGTTCTTTAACCAGAAACCCCATGAACTTCTACGAGCACGAAATTATGCAGCTATTTGAAAAATGTAGAAAGGTCATTGAACTAAATAGCCCATACTCCATTGATTAAATGTAATTTTTAATAAGTAAACTTTTTCTTCAAGTTTTGTCAAAAAATGGGGGCAAACTGTTGCATCAACCAAATAAAATAATTTTGTGCAAATAATATATATATGTATGCGTGCATATAATAATAATGAACATAGGAGTTTGTTGCAAAGTTACACTTACAAAAATTACTAATTTAAGCATAAAATTCATGTTAAATAAAAGTTTGCAGACTGCATTACCAGGCCTCGCGCCAGCATTTTTCACGACTTAAGTGATCAATATAATTCATACCTCGCATTAATTAAACATACTAACTCAAAGCAAAATATACTTTTATTTAGCTGTCTCTTTAGTGTCCTGTGAAAAATCAGCACTCTAGACAGCTGACTGTGTCATATATGCTTGGAGCCAGCCTTACATATTACTTGTGTAACTTAGGGAAGGGGGTACTGTACATTTATTGGGTTGAAACATACACTGGTGTGCAAAAATTAAGGACGAGACGGTTTTTTCAACATAACTTTGTACAAAAGCTTTCCAAATCAACACATTTAATACCGTAAGATCCCCAATACGTAAGGACATGAGTAATGAAGCAACACTACTAAAAGAGAATCAGAGGGATAAAAAAGAAGCTTTATTGAAAAAATAGCATGGAGCGCAATGCGACTGAAAGCCGAAACATCCCTGTGATGGGTGTCCAGCAAGAAACATCCGGTCTTTAATAGGGGATATGATCTCCCCTGACTGCTAGGCAGGTTTCACAGCATCTGCCCATGCTCAGAATTAGAGTGTCAATGAGTTGTTGAGGCATTGCTGCCCATTCGTCTTGCAGCGCCAATCGAAGCTCCGGAATCGTTACTGGTGGTAAAGTACGAGCTGCCAAGCGTCTGCCTAGAAAATCCCATACATGCTCGATGGGATTGACATCCGGAGATCGTGCCGGCCAATCCATACGTTCAATATCCTCACTCTCTAAGAGCTGTTCGGCAGCTACTGTGGGATGACATGGTGCATTGTCGTCCATGAAAAGGAACTGCGGACCCATAGCGCCTCTAAAAAGACGCACATATGGAAGAAGAATCTCGTTACAATAACGGGTCCCGTTGACTGAACCTGCGTCGAAGATGTGAAGGTCTGTAAGACTACCAAGCATGATGCCTCCCCAAACCAGAACACCGCCACCTCCATACCTGTCCCTTTCAATCATGTTCGAGGGATGATTGCGGCTTCCTCGCTCTCTCCAGATGAGTATGCGATGAGAATCGCTACTCAGACTGAATCTGCTCTCATCTGTAAAGAGTACTCGTCCCCATTCATTGTCTCTCCAATTCCAGTATTCCCGGCACCACAGAGAATGCCTTTTCCGATGGGCAGGCGTTAGAGGTACACACCATACAGGGGGTCGTGCAAACAGACCACCACCGTGCAGTCTTCTGGCCACGGTAAAGCGCGATATCGGTCGTCCAGTCGCCTGTGTTGTGTGTCTAGCGATTTCTCCCGCTGTCTGCCGCCTTTTTCTTCTGGCCTGTAAGGCAATATACCGGTCATCTGCGGGTGTGGTTCCTCGTGGACGACCACTACTAAACCCTCGGATAGCTGTTCCTGTAGTTTGAAATTGTCTCCAAAGTCATGAAACGATGCTGTGAGCAATTCCAAACTCTGCAGCCTTCCTCCAACTTCCCAATGATTCGACCTCGGGTAAAAGCATCCAGATGTCGCCTAACAGATTGATTATTCGCCATTTCTCGCTGAGGCAGCAAATCGGTGTGATTTTAACTGCTATACGTCGTGCAATCTCTTTGCCAGAAATACTGATCTTACACTGACAACATGCTTTATACTACTCAGACACTCCCCCATTACGTCTACCTGCATATCTGCACATGTGCTACCATACATCACCTTATTTAATCTCCTGATTGGTCTTTCTGTCCGCTCTGCCTCTTCGTTCAGCTGATATGCTAATTTTTCGACTTCGTCCTTAATTTTTGCACACCAGTGTAAGTAATGGTCGTTTATGTTGTGTTTAAAATTACGCGGTAAAAATAAAATGTATTTGGCCTAATGTTTTGTTTTACTCGAAAGAGAATCTTTCCCTCTACAAGATGGTGTATTTGACTTTTTTGTCCTAGCTAATTTTTGTTACTTTTTAGATCATTAAAATGGAGTGTCAAGTCGACAAAAATAAGCATTTTCAAAACCTTCTTTTTGCATTTAATCGAGGCACCAACGCAGCAGAAGCTGCCCGAGATATTGAGATATTTGTGAAGTGTATGGAGATGGTGGAATGCCTAAACGAACTGCAAGAAATTGGTTTGCCAAATTCAAAAATGGAAATTTCAACCTTGAAGATGCTGCTCGTTCCAGACAACCAAATGAGTTGATGATGAAGAGCATTTGAATCAACTTTTGCAAAAAGACGCGCATCAAACCACTCGTGAATTAGCTGAATGAATGGGTTGTAGCCAAATGACTATAGTTCAACATCTCAGGTCTATGGGGAAAGTCCAAAAACTCCAATATTATTGACTAAATAATTGTTTTTTTTTTTTTTTTTTTTTTTTGTTTTGTTTGTTTGTTTGTTTGTTAAATAACAATTTTTAAATTAAAAAAAGGGTCATTACTTATGTTTCAGCCCAATAAATTTCAGTTCCATTTAGACAAAAAACATGCTTAATAGCTTCTTCACATAAAAAGTTGTATTATTTTTAAGTACGAATTGTAATATAAAACAACTTGATACATTTGAACTCAGTGATTAATTTATTCTGAATCTAAGAAAACAAATTATATATAAATAGCATCTCATGATGTGTTAATTTCAATTATTTATGTAATTGAAAACAAAAGCAAAAGTAAGCTTGAAATATAATACTTAAAAATATTTTTACTAAATAAAATAAACATATTATGTTAAAATGTAGATAAGCAGTGAAAACAAAGTCTGTTCTGCATATTTCATTAAAACATACTTGCATGTTTTATACTGCTCTAGAATATCAGCTTCCATTTCTTCTGTCTGATCTGGAGCAAACCTAAATTCTGACACAAAGCCCAATGTGTGGATGGATTCATCATAGTCGCCACATTCAGCTGAAAAGGAAATGTTTTCATAAACATAATATTTTTCATTAAAAACAATACTACCCATAACAAATTTTAGAATTTTATACATGCAAAAAGGAAATACTACATAAAATATTCATGAAAGCCATAAAACTATCAAAATCAAAAGAAAGCAACAAAAATCTATAAATGAGAATGGATATCAGAAAAGTGTATCGAAATAACAGGTAAGTAATAAATAATAGAATTCTATGATACAAACAAAATTATTTTTCATGGTTATAATTTTAAAAATTTATGTATGTTGAAACAAAATTTAAGATATCCAGACTTAAACATATTCTTTTTTTGTTTCCTCAAGGCCAAGAAAAGTAAATGTATTGCTAATTAATTTATATGATATAATTTTCTGTTCATTTAAATTTGGACCCATTTAAAAAAAAAATCATATAAAAACAAACAAATTGGCACTTCAGAATGTTATTTACACCTAAAGACTTATCACAAACATGTTATGGGGCATGAGATATATTTTATTTTAAATTTTCACCAAGAGACAGGACTATAAAGCTCACGTCACAAAATGTGCAAATTAATATTCCTTAAAACAAATGTGCTCATAATAGATGGCTATAATAATACAGTCAAAAGTCGTTAATTCGGACACCCGTAATCCGGACCTCAAAGCTAAAAACTTTCTGCGCATGCGCCGCGTTAGCGCGTGCGCGTAAGACCTTTTACGACTGCGCATATGTGTGTGCGCAAGCACAGAATACGTTTTCGCCTGCGCGTTTCATGTATAACGGACAGTATAAGCTAAAATTATCTAATTATCTATTTATCTATTTCAGTTAATGTTGATGATTGTGTTGTTCCTTAATCTTTGAATTGGATCCGGCTTATTATTTTTTGCAGACTGTAAGAGCACTACTATAAAAGTAAACTTGAACTTTCAATTATGTCAAATAGAATTTCCGATTCTGGAGCTCCCAAAGGATCGTACAAAATGAAAGTATGTTTCGTTGTCCATCAAACAAAAAGTAGAATTGCTGCAAAAAATGGATAAAGACATGAAGAATGTGACAGAGAGGTTAGTGAAAACGAAAAAATTTCGATTGACAAGTTAGTCGGTATTCTCGGCACAGCAATTAACGGGACTTGAACAGCGGAACTTTGTAACTGAACAAAAAATTATGTCTGTTTATAGAATTAAAAAGAAAGTATTATCACATAAAACGAAGCAACTTAAACAACTTACATTGAAAGAAATGTTTAATAAAGTAAACAAATAAATATTAAGCTTTTTTTTTTTTTTTTGTAAATTTTGATACCCTTTAGATCATAATTGTTCTTTATTTCATAAATTACGGTTTCATATTTTTAATTTTAGAAATTTCTGCATGCCATCTTACGAGATTTAAACTGATGATCTATAATCCGGAAAAATCGATAATCCGGAATCGCCGAAGTCCCGACGAGTCCGGATTGACGACTTTTGACAGTAGTAACACTTTGATATACTTTTGCAAATTCAAGTGAAAAAAATGCTATACAGTCAAAAGTCGTTAATTCGGACACCCATAATCCGGAATGATCTATAATCCGGACCTCAAAGCTACAAACTTTCTGCGCATGCGTCGCGTTGACGCATGCGCGTAAGACCTTTACCGCTGCTAATTTGCGTGTGCGCGTGCGCAAAATACGTTTACGAATGCGAATTTAATGTATAACGGACGGGATAAGCTAAGCTAAAATTATCTAATTATCTATTTCAGTTAATGTTGCAGATTGCGTTGTTCCTTAATCTTCGAATTGGATCCGGATTATTATTTTTTTGCAGACTGTTAGAGCAATTTTATAAAAGTAAGCTTGAACTTTCGATTATGTCAAATAGAATTTCCGATATATATTTACTAATATGTAAAGGATATACAAAGCGAAAGTATCTTTCGAGTCCATTAAACAAAAAGTGGAATTGCTGCAAAAAATGGATAAAGTTTATCTAAACTTTAACGTTTGTTTATCTAAACTTTGTTTACCTTTAACGCCGCCGCGGCGTGCATTGAATTGGAAGTTGATCTGTCAGCACTATCCTTATTTTAAGAGCAGATGTTTTTATTTTATTTGGCTTATAATTGCTTACTCAATGTAGTATTTCATCTCGTCTTTGATATGATTTAAATCAAATGCCTCGTCATTATAATTCGCTTCCGATAGCGAAGAAAGTACAGAGGTTATTGAAAACGAAAAAAATTTCGATTGACAAATTAGTCGGTATCTCGACACAGCAATTATAGGACTTGAACAGCGGAACTTTGTAACTGAACAAGAAATTATGTCTGTTTATAGAATTAAAGAGAATGTATTATAACATAAAAAACGAAGCAACTTAAACAACTTACATTGAAAGAAATGTTTAATAAAGTAAACAAATAAATATTAAGCTTTTTTATTTTGTAAATTTTGATACCCTTTAGATCATAATTGTTCTTTATTTCGTAAATTACGGTTTCATATTTTTAATTTTATAATTTCTGCATGCCATTTTACCAGATTTAAACTGATGATCTATAATCCGGAAAAATCGATAATCCGTAATCGCCGAAGTCCCGACGAGTCCGGATTAACGACTTTTGACTGTATAAGATTTAACTTTTCTCATTCTATTATTATCAGCCAACAGTGTCATCTCTTATGAAAATATGAACTAAAACATGCTTTATATATTAAAAAAAACTGCCTCTGTGATAAATATTTAAGCAAAAACTATAAGCTAATATACCAGTTAGCAGATTTTATATGATTTTTAAAAATGTGCTGAATTTATGAGACTATGAAGCTACTGAATTAATTTAGATGAAAAGGTCAACATGTAAATTTATCAACAGTAATTTCATTCCCAGGTCTTCAATTTAAGTTAGACGGAAATAGAATAGGTATTTTATTTTAGAAAAAAAATTTTTTTTGTTCAATTCGAAACAATCAAAATGAAAAATGTTGTTTAATTTAAGACTCATATAAATAGAAATATGACATGCATTCAAGCAAATAAAAAATAATTTCAGTTTTTAATTTAGTTGAAAAAGCATGACTAACATTCTGTTCTACAGAAATAAAAATATTTCACTTTTAACTATATAATCCTTTTAAAATTAAATATTATAAATCAAGTAATATAAATCTCTCACTTGTTCAGCTGCAAATATATATATGGGTCATACAGAAATGATTGTTACAACGGCTCTCACAACAAAACTATTACACTATGCAAAGGGAAAACAAGCGAAATAGACACAAAGGAATGAAAGTGAGCTACTCAGAATGCATAGATGGAGCTGGCCACAAGCGAACGGTATAAGTCAGCAACCGTCCCTTTTGACGTCATCATTCAGAGCGTGGACAGCAATGATAGAAGGTGACTATTGTGATGTATATTTAAAATAACTACAACTATAACTGTAACTGTAAATAACTTTAACTGTAATGGCATTCATGCTATGCGATTCTGTTGTTGTGATGCACGTGTTACTGTGCTAGCCGAATGTCATGTGAACTGTTTAAAAATGTAATAATAAAAGTTTTGAATTCTTGAGATATATACTCATTAGTTGAGTCTTCTTTTAAAGTACAGAAGTTAATTAAATTCAACAAACTACACAAGAAGTTACATGGTGTCAGGAGCAAAATGGATTTCAGACCACCTGCTCCGCTAACATTCTCCGTCGGAAATGTTAAAGAAAAGTGGAAAAAATGGAAGCAAGAGCTAGAAAACTATTTACTTGCAACGGAAAAAGATGCCAAGCCAGATAAGGCTAAAATTGCAATCCTTTTGAATTTACTCGGTGCTGAAGGACTCGAAATTTATAACACGTTTCGATTTGAGCCACCTGAGAATAAAGAGAAATACGAAGACGTCTTGAAGTCTTTTGAAGATTATTGTTCATCATGGCAGAATGTCGTGGTGAACAATACAAATAAGAAACATTACAAAAGAAACATTACAAATTCTTTTTGTGTAGCCAGCAAGAAGAACAAACAATTGAATGTTATGTCACTCAGTTAAAGACTTTAGCGTCAACTTGTGAGTTTGCTGAACAAGAAAATGGATTGATTCGCGACCGTATTGTATTAGGCATTCGGGATAGGAGTCTGACCGAACGTTTGCTTCGAGAATCTAACCTAGGATTAGAAAAAGCTATAGAAATAGTCCGTGCCGCTGAAACAAGCAACGAGCAACTCCGGAACATGAAAGATGATCCAGCGACTTTGAACAGCGTGAAGAAATATAGAAAAGAGCAGCATCAATCAAAACAGGCAGTGCTACCGAAATTGTCGTCACAGAAGCAATCAGCACTAGAATATGACTGCAAGAAGTGCGCAAGAAGGCACAAATATCGGGACTGTCCAGCTTTTGGAAAGACGTGTGCGAAATGCAAAGTAAAGAACCATTTTGCCGCGAGGTGTCCCAAGAACATTTGTGAAGTTGGAATACCAAATAATGAACTTAGTATATATAATGAACATAGTGTATTTGTTGACTCTGTAATGATGAATCCACCAGTAAACGGGCATAGTGAATTTAAAATAAGTGCAAAATCAATCAAAGATCTAACAAATTCTATTGATGAAGTAAATAAGGATATTCACAAGGTAAGTGAAACATGGGTGAAAAGTATTACAATGTATGTAAATAATAAGTCTTTCAAGGTTGATTTTAAGTTAGATACTGGTGCAGAAGTAAATATTTTGCCTTTGTATGTTTTAAATAATGTTAAACTTAAGCCTAAACTTAATGAAACTGATTTGTTCTTAACTGCATATGGTAATTTTAAGTTAAAACCAGAAGGTACTCTTATAATTAATTGTTCAACTGAAAGGCTTAAGAATGTACCTTTACAGTTTTATGTTCTTGATGTAAGATCTAAGCCTATATTAGGGTTAACAGCTTGTTCTGCATTAAAGCTAATTGAAAGGATTGATTCCTTAAAGTGCAATATCATTAATAAAAATGATTTAATTGCTCAGTATAAAGATGTATTTACAGGTACAGGGCAATTTCCTGACGAACCATATCATATAACACTT